AGACAGAGAGACAGAGAGACAGAGAGACAGAGAGAGAGAGAGAGAGAGAGAGAGAGAGAGAGAGAGAGAGAGAGAGAGAGAGAGAGAGAGAGAGAGAGAGAGAGAGAGAGAGAGAGAGAGAGACAGAGACAGAGACAGAGACAGAGACAGAGAGAGAGAGAGAGAGAGAGAGAGAGAGAGAGAGAGAGAGAGAGAGAGAGAGAGAGAGAAAGAAAGAGAGAGAGAGAGAGAGCGGGAGACTCACAATCAAAGTGGCGGCAAAATGCCAGTGACACAACTGCTTACCAGATAGTTTGAGGCCACGTTCACCAACTTGCGTTTCATACGCATCGGGCCATGACAACACTGCATCGTGCAGGTTGGCCATCCGTGACGCATGCATCACTTCTTCCTTGCTTGCTGACAGGTTACCGTAAGAGATGTTGTGCAGAATGGAGTTATGAAAGAGCACAGAATCCTGCAACATTCGGCAAGAAACGGTAGCAGACGAGCAAGAACATCAGAACCATGAAGCTGCTAATCTCCAATTTATCAGTTGTCTGCTGACTGCTTTTAAAGGCCTTAATTAGCATGCCATTCTGCAACTCGTGTATCTCCAATATAATCAAACAAGGTTTCGGCCCCAGGTTTCGGCCTCTTGCAAAAATAAGCAATATTTCACCTACCATCACACTGACATCAGGCAGAGATAGGCCACCAACCTCACAAACCATTTACTAAACTTCAAGATGTTGATGCAACAGCAGCAGCAGCAGGAACACAGCAGCCACACACCACAGCACTAGCACTCTAGCATATCATTTGAATCCATGTACAGTAAAATCTGTAACTAAAGACCACCATGACTAGCGACCAACCTGGTACTACCGACCACTTCACCAGGCACGGACGGTCTCACATTCAAAATGCACTGTGACTAGCGACTACCTGCTGAACGCGACCAGCGACCGCCTTTTCTTGTCCCAAAGACGACTTTTGACCCGTAACTAGCGACCGCGATGTAGGAAATCAAATGTTGCTCGAAGTTCCTTCTTGAAATTTTGCTGATTTCCCATGGTCCCGATAGGAATCTTTCGATACTACAGCTGAACAAATGAACGCAGGTCATTTTGACTGCGGAGGCGGTGTGGACTGCCCTACGCCTGTCAAAATTTCAAGCCCTGTCAAGAATAAACATGATAGGAAACGTCTTGGAGAGCGCATCGGAAGCGCTCTCTGATCGATGTTACTACTCGGAGGAGAAACAAAGACTGAGCGGCTCTGTCACCCCAGTCATACAGACGAATTGACGATTGCATCAAGGAATCCATAAACAAAGCAGCACCGCAAGGTCCTGATGCTGACGGATCGCGTTCAAGCAATCGAGAAGTCCGCACAACAAGGACAGTCGGTACGATTGATCGCATGAACAAATTTGAAGCCTAGCGCAAAACGAAACTTCCACAGGGAAAGTTTGACTCCCGGCTTCAGAAGTAGCAGCTGAATTTGATGTCTGCAAAAAATTAATCTTTTCTCCCTCTCTCTGTCTCTCTCCATCTCTCCGTCTTTCTCTCCAAGTGTTGTTTGACCTAAAATAAGAATGGCATTGCGCAAGTCCTGGGGAATTGTATTGGCTGCGTTTTGACATACATATCATATAATGGGATCCATATATTATGGGCACGCAGTGCAAACCTCTAACTAAAGACCACCTGCTACTAAAGACCGCTTTTGCTGGCCCCAAGGGGTGGTCGGTAGTCACAGGTTATACTGTACTACAGAAAGAAAGCAGCTGCTGCATGTTTGAGCCTCGCTTACTTGTGGCACAACACCAATGGCCGCGCGGAGGCTCTCAACCGTCATTCCCTTCGTGTTGTGACCGTCAATAAAGATATTGCCAGACACTGGGTCGAAGAAGCGGTACAAGAGGCGCACAACAGTGGACTTGCTGCAAGGGAAACACATACACACAGGAGAGAAGCAACACCGCTATAGCATACCCGGACAAAAAAATCCATTTTTAATGATTTCAAATAAACAGGGTTACACCGGATACCACTGTACAGATATTTATTTCATCTCTCCGTACTCAGCGTCAAATCCTCGATATTTGTTCGAAGAACTAACTTCAAAGAAGTAGAGAATTGATCTGTCATTGACACTCAGCCGCAGTCTCATAGGAAAATATGCTACACGAACAAAGGAACAAGCAGTCATATAAGCCAGCATAGGTGGTGATGTGTTACATTCACACCATGGGAAGAAAATCAACACTCGCCCATTAAGGTACGCACGAAACCAGGAAACCTTGGCGCTGGTTTTAGTTCAAGATTCGCAAGCACAACACATCATTCGCACCTGGGAATGTTTGTGATTGGAGTCAATTTCATTAGTTTTCAGCTTTCTCTACTACAATTCTACCCATTCGCGCCGGTGTACCTTTGCGACTTCACGCCCCATCGACAGTTTCCAGATGGCAAATGTTTGCAGGTTTACAGTAAGCACACACCTATCATGTATGGTGCTAGATGGGATAGATACTACTAGCACTCATACATGTACAGGAAGTTCAGGGCTAACAGCTAATCACCGTAATACATGCAACGTTAATTGCATGCGCACACACATACACACACACACACAGCAATGTACAGCAATGCTGCACAGCAGACAGCAGTGGTGAATATCACACCAGGTGATCTCTGGACCCACCATAGCACAGGGTGAGAAAGGAACATAGGAAGGAAAAGAAAATAGGAGAGGGTAAGTGGCAGCTTATATGCTATACAGGACGAATAACTGCACGATTAGTAGAATCAAGAGGCAACGGCAACCCATTTCTTATGAAGGTTAGCAACCTAGATGGCATTCCATTCTCAAATGTGATGAGAGATGGAGGGGTGAGAGTTGAAGTGTGGCTGTGTCACAAGTGACAACATACACTGGTCAAAGTGAAATTGACAGGACTTGCGCTCACAAAGAGTCTACATTGCCTCCTGTGTACATGCCCCCCCCCCCCCCACACCCACACATTGACCATAGTAAGACTCCTTACCCAGACCCACTTCCTCCAACAAGAGCAACTTTCTTTCCTGCCGGAACGACGAACGACAAGTTGGAGAGAATTGGCCTTCCCGTGATGTACTCAAATGATACGTCATCAAACACCACTTCTGGATTCTTGCCATCCTCGACGGTAAAGTTAATAGAGCCGGGAAGTGTCTGGAAGCAACCACGACAAATCATACGAACAATACACACGCACATAATTGCATGCACACACAGACACAGATGCACATACGTACATACGATACACATACACACACACGCACACACACACACACACACACACACACACACACACACACATACACACACATACACACATACACACATACACACACCAGTGCAACGTACAGCACCCACTAGTAAACAAAGTGTGCAAGGTAACAGGGCCCCTGGCGCAACAGATTACAGTACAACATTCAGACATTCAGACATACAGGTGAGAGGAAAGAGGAAATGATATACAAGAATGTGAAGTCAGCCTGCAAACCCCCGGCACATCAGCAGGAAATAGATATTCATATATTCAAATGTTCACATAGATACATGTACAAGTACCTCTTGATTCCTCTCAAGTGTGTGTAGGTACATATAGGTACATGTTACTGTACATAGACAAATCATACCTTGATATTCGACTCAATCTGCAGCATGTTGAACATGGTGGTGACATCAATCAGATTCTGCTTCATGTCGCGATAAACAGAGCCCAGGAAGTTGAGCGGCATGGACAGCTGGAAGAGCAAGCCGTTCACCATCACAAGGTCACCGACTGACATACGCCCTGGACAACAACAACAACAACACACACACACACACACACACACACACACACACACACACACACACACACACACACACACACACACACACACACACACACACACACACACACACACACACACACACACACACACACACACACACACACACACACACACACACACACACACACACACACACACACACACACACACACACACACACACACACACACACACACACACACACACACACACACACACACACACACACACACACACACACACACACACACACACACACACACACACACACACACACACACACACACACACACACACACACACACACACACACACACACACACACACACACACACACACACACACACACACACACACACACACACACACACACACACACACACACACACACACACACACACACACACACACACACACACACACACACACACACACACACACACACACACACACACACACACACACACACACACACACACACACACACACACACACACACACACACACACACACACACACACACACACACACACACACACACACACACACACACACACACACACACACACACACACACACACACACACACACACACACACACACACACACACACACACACACACACACACACACACACACACACACACACACACACACACACACACACACACACACACACACACACACACACACACACACACACACACACACACACACACACACACACACACACACACACACACACACACACACACACACACACACACACACACACACACACACACACACACACACACACACACACACACACACACACACACACACACACACACACACACACACACACACACACACACACACACACACACACACACACACACACACACACACACACACACACACACACACACACACACACACACACACACACACACACACACACACACACACACACACACACACACACACACACACACACACACACACACACACACACACACACACACACACACACACACACACACACACACACACACACACACACACACACACACACACACACACACACACACACAGTATGGCAAAGAGAAAGAAAAAATCATGACAACGCATCCGCCCTGGACAGGACACACAGTGTCGCAAAGAACATCATGACAAGAAAAAGATGGACGACAAAGCGATTATCATGAAGAACTTACTTTTATGAAACCTGAAATTCAGTGATTTTTGAAGAATTTCATTCCAGTAAACCGAGATACATACTGAATTTTCTGGAGTAAAAGCTGATCTTTTTTTCACACAAAAAGAGCTGATCAATTCGCAGATAGTTGATTATACATTTAAATGATTACAGTTTGGAGATAGTCAATCATGATAACACTTCGGAGGTCCCGCTGAAACCGCAACAGTCCTGCGTTTTCACTGCAAAATGTTATAGTAGAATTTGAGTTTCCCGTTGTGGTCTATGCACATGCCCTGGCTCATAGGCCTTGTGTTTCACAGCTTCAAGAAGTCTGCATGCTTCCTTGCCGCTTTGCTTCTGGGCGTAGAGTTTGCTTTCTCTTTAGGTGGTGGATCTGTGAAAGACTTTCGCCGTTGCTTTGGCGAAGCATGTAGTTCAAGCCACCGTTCTAGCTGCCTCTTCTGCAGGTCTCAGCACTCCAGTTCTTTAGATCTTGATTCGCAGCAGTCGGGGGGGGGGGGGGGGTTGAAGATGATATCAGCAGCAAAACTGTTACTGTTACCAATGTTTGAATCAAAATGGACTTCCTCTCTAGCACAAGTGGACTTGATGTTGCAGTGCCTGATTCGAGTGGCAACTGGTGTGCTCATAGGAGCTGGTGCTTAGTAGAAGCTCCTGCAACCACTCCAAATCAGAAAATGATATGTTCCACAGCACTTTTATCACTTGTGCCTACACATGCTGTATAACTGTATGATTTGGCTTGCCCTGCCTTATGGTATCTACTACACACCCATGAAAAGTTCTTCTCTGACACTGCCAATTCAACTCTACAACCCACAGCATTTTCGGAGTTGCTACCACCGGTAGCAACCAGGTAACTGGCTCTGTTTCAGACCAGGCTGTGACAAGTGCCTGTGTACTGTCTCTGGTAGTGTCGATCTGCCTCATGTTTACGTGGACGCACGGTGCAATGCGGATAAATCAACACACGCGTAAAGTTGCATCTTTGGCAGATACTGGATCGGCACGCACCTTCCTGTCTAAGTGAAAGTCTGCAGTGGATGACCTGAGACCTGATGTCTGTGGAATGCCTTCTGGTGATGGAGGAGTAGTGGCCTTCGACGGCAATCCACTTGGAGTCTTTGGCATGCTGTATGTATCTCTATGCCGGCTTGATGGTCCTGTTCACCTAGAGCCTATTATAGTGACGGCATCGGCTGTACCCTCCCCCCCCCCTCCCCCCCCCCCCCCCCCTCTACGTCATCCGGCGAATAGCCAACAAGATAATAATCCCTGAGCATACTGGCAAGGTGACAAAGAACTGGCTGACAAAGACACCCTTTAACCTAGCACACATGGCCGCCGCTAGGCATCGCAATGCATCGCAATGCATCGCTAGGCATCACAATGCATCGCTAGGCATCGCAATGCCTTCTGCACTTACCTGCTGTGATTTCGCGTGCAGCAAGGCACATGATTGCTGTCATGCCAGCGCTGAAGATCATTTGTTGGCCAAAGTTCAGCTGTGAGAGGCTATAAGACGTCTTCAAACTAGCATCTTCATATCTCTTCAGATACTTGTCATATTGCTTGGTCTCAAATTCTTCATTGCCAAAGTACTGTGCAAAAACAAGGACAGCAACGATGACGACAAACAAATACACAAATACATACAAATGCCATAAGCACAAGAAACGCACAAGCGCACACGCGCGCACACACACACACACACACACACACACACACACACACACACACACACACACACACACACATACACACACACACACACACACACACACACACACATGCACATAAACACGTACCCAAAGTTGGAACGTCACTATTGAGTACTCAGCAACTAGCCCAACCTAGAAAGTTCAATGAATCACAGCCGTGATGGCAATGGCTTGCCCCCATCCCCATCCCCCCCCCCCCCCCCCACACACACACAAGTGCGACCCTTCTGATTGCAAGTCGGGAAATGCTCCGCGGGGAGAAGTACAGTAAAGTACCGCAAGGGCGTTCCGTTCCGCCTTGGCTTGCAGCCATGGAGAGGGAAATCTCCAGGGCCTGCTGCGTACCTTGACAGTTTCATAATTGATCAACGAGTCAATGGCCTTGGACCCCGCTGCACTGTCTGCCTTGTTCATTGCAATGCGAAATTTAGTTCTGCAGAGGGCACAGACACACCACACGCCTATGTTAGTACCCAGGGGTGTCGGTAGGTATTCTACATTGGTGCGACCATGAAAAGGTGGGGGTCCTGGGACCCTGCCCCGTGAAATTAGGACAATTGGGCCCAAATAGCCCATTGCTTCAGAAATCACAGGATAAGAAAAACATCATAAAAGCATTGAAAAGAAAAAGGACCAAGGAACTACAAGTTACGCTATAATGTCCACTAACACCACCAGTTACTAAACAATCAGCTCATGCGATAACATGGCACGACACTGACCGACGGTACTGACGTTCTACAACTACCGGTAACTGACTATCAGCTCTAGCACATCTTGGATGCGCACTCCAACAGCCTTCCAACAGTCAGTGTCGTGCAACGTTATTGCACGAGCTGATTGTTTAGTAACTACTAAACTAGGCTTCCGCGGAATATGCTCGTATTTTTACCGATAATTCTTTTGAGCATTGCTCAAAATTTCGACCAATAATTCCCGTAATTTCACCAATGATTCTCGCAATAATTCTTTTTTTTCTTCCCTTTTCGCAGATACCGTACCGCGTACGTACGGGTATTGTTGCCACTTGTACGGGCAAAAAAATCACGGTTCGCGTGAGACTCGGCTGGAACCTTTTTTTTCTTTCTTTTTTTTGAAAGACAGGGCGAATAATGGCAAGACCACAAGCTTTTTGGTACAAATCAGGGTGTTATTATTATTATTATCTTTATTACTTGCATGTACGCGTTGGAGTCAACCATGCAAGCATGATCCACAACTTCGCTTATGCTGAACATGATAAACAGGACTATGACAGGGGAAAGAAATTGAGCTAGAACGATGATATAATGATATAATTAACATATACAATGTAGATCATGGGTATTGAAGATATGTCATTTATGAATATGTCTATATGTCATTGAATATTGCAGCCTGAGTGATAATAATAGTGCTATTTCCTGAGTTTGACTGTTTCAGGATCTGTCGGAATATCACGATGCAGAGATCTTCATACATAGATCTCGCCATGCGGGTCGGTCATTGGCAATGGCTCGCAGGCTCTGCAGAGCGTCTAGGTTCCCGAGCAATCCGGCATTGGCTTGGCGCAGATCTCCCACCAATCTCCAACCAGATCTCAGATCTCCAACCAGATCACCCACCAATGCCTGCGGCAGGGTGTTACAAACGAAAAAATTGAAAAAACGGGGGCATTGCTCAAGTTTTACCGATTATTCCACAAAAATTGCCAATAATTCCCGTTTTAAAAATCAGACCGATAATTCCCGAAATTAATTAAGCTGGCATATTCCGCGGAAGCCTATTAGTGACTGGTGGTGTTAGTGGACATTATAGCGTAACGTGTAGTTCCTTGGTCCTTTTTCTTTTGTAAAAATTTATCCTTGGCTCTCCATCCGAGTCCATCAAAGTATTGGTGCGGCTTAGGCCGCACCGGTTCCGCCCCCCCCCCCCCCCCCCCCCCCCTGGTACCTGATCCTGTATGCTAACACGTGGGCCAAAACGTTTTCTACACTGCAAGCACTGGTAGCGGCTAAGGTGCAACTAACCTCCATTGTGTAGTAGCAAGAGTGAAGGCTCCATAGGACACAACCGTGGTGAACGTTACCAATGCAAAATCTGTACCACATCGATAACCCTGGCAGTACGAAGAGCAGCAGCAGCAGTCACAGCATCCACAACCACAACAAAAGCAGCAAATAAGACCAAAGAAAAGACATACTGATGCTACAAAATAAAATTTGCACAGATAAGGAGGAGGAGGCCGAGGACGAGGAGGAGGACGAGGAGGAGGACGAGGACGAGGACGAGGAGGAGGACGAGGACGAGGAGGAGGAGCGGGTTGTGATATTAAATGCAGGCTCAAGTTTCTTGCAAAAACACATTCCCAGGCACAATTGTCAAAATACAGAACATCAAGACAACTCAGGCACCCAGCACCCAGAATCTTGAAGGTGAAAATCTACGAGTTGAACAGCATTCTTCTGTAATTTCGTACTCACCAAAATGCCAGCAACTAACATAACCTCAAATATTGTTGGGAAAATGTTGAAGACCAACGCAGTAAGGAGTCCATTGATTCCACTGTGAATATTTCACACACACACACACACACACCATGTACCACGCACACACACACACACACACACACACACACACACACCATGTACCACGCACACACACACACACACACACACACACACACACGCGCGCGCGCGCGCGCGCAATGCACACAATGCAGACACATATTGTGTAGAAGCAGCATTCCTTTTATAACCAATATTAACCATAACTATACACTTGTAGATAGTGAGCTCGGAAACATGGGCAAACATGGGTTACTACAAAGTAAGCGTCATGAACTGAAATCAGCTTCTGCCAATACTGCTCCAAGTACTAATCGGTTGTCAACAGCTTGGACTGAGCCAGTAGAAGGCGTTATGGCAAGTTGCATGCAGTAGTTGTGAACAGCTTGGACTGAGCCAGTAGAAGGCGCTATGGCAAGTTGCATGCAGTAGTTGACCACCCAAGTTCCAAGAGAACTCTGCACTGCCCACAGAATTCAAACCACTAAAAGGCGCAACATACCGTGTTCCGCGGTCAATGGCTCTTGACAAAGCGCCGGTTTGACGACTCAGGTGGAAAGTCAAGTCAAGGTTATGCAGGTGACGGAACGCCTCACAAGATAGGTGGCGTATCCTACTTTGAGCCACTTTGGCAAACAAGGAGTTGCGCAGCTCATTGCAGCCAAAAGATCCAGCTCTGACAGCTCCATCTAAAAACAGGAAAAAAGTTAGAATTATGTTGCTGCATGGAGTACAAACATAACACACTTCACACTAAACATGTTACAATGTGTAGAGCACTAGCACTGCAAAAAGAAAATCATACATCGCCACAAGACCGGCACTTTAAACTCAATGCTTCACAAGTAAAACATCTTACATAGCAGCAGAAGTCCAGACACTGTGCCGAAGGATGCAACGGCCGGATCAGCTAAGTTATCCACCGCGTGCTTGAACAAGAAAGGGACTTGCACATTCAGTATCTACAACAAGAAACAGAACATTCAACAAAAGAGAATTCTTTACTTGCTGTAAACTGCCTAATGTTTGTGACGTATTACTGTATAAGTGCAAATTTTCGTTTGGAATTAACTTTCGCTATATTCGATAGGGGGCACGAAATAACTAAAGTTTGTACCAAACTAAAGTTTTTTTTCTGAACGTTCGGGGTGACAGACCTCGACCAAAAACGAAATTTAGTACGCTGGTGGAGTGACCTAACGAAAGATTTCGTGAACGATTTTTTTACTTATACAGTAATGCTGGCTAATTTCACGAGAAGAGCATAAAGCGCATACTCAGTATTACTAAGTAACCATCATGAAATCAAACTTCAACAGTGGGTGTATGTGTGGGTGGTCACAGTGTTCTGGGAAAGTTTGCCATCGTTAACTCGCTGGTTCTGAGAAATCGTGAAAAATTAGTGACGTAAATATTGGGTGGTTTACAGTAGGTTTACTCGCTTCTGGGAGAGTAGAGTAATCCAACAAAGGGACTGAAACAGAGTACCTTGGTTGGAGCCAATCCGGTAGACACCACACCCAGGAAAGAAACTTGTCCTACCTTTGAGCCGATCAGCAGGACACCGGAAGCTGCCACCCGCCACCGAAGCTCAGGTTGATCTTTCGGCCATGCATGACTCAGCATAGCCTTGAGAATGTCTGCAGAGGTCGCTGACTTCTTCACGCGGTGGCTCTTATCGCTGGCAGTGCTCTTCAGAAGCTCCTCAGCACCTGTGACACCACCTGCGATGTGCCGGACATTGCTCGTGCCGTGAATCTAGTCAGAACACAACAACACGAAACATGAAACATTAATCACACAGAGTGTCAGTTTCCTGACTGTGAGCTACATCCAGGGTAAGGAAGTAACAACACAATGTATGCCATGCTGAATGCCATGCTGAATGCCATGCTGAATGCCATGCTGAATGCCATGCTGAATGCCATGCTGAATGCCATGCTGTATGCCATGCTGTATGCCATGCTGAATGCCATGCTGTATGCCATGATGTATGCCACGCTGAAAGCCATGCTGAATGCACAACGATACATGTATTGAACAGATACCAGCCTAACTACCAACATCCAGTTAAATGCTGTAAAAAAAGGCAACACAGATGAGATGAACTCAGATGGTTAGCCAAGGAAAAATTTGTAACATGGGAAATTGTGGGCACAAGTTATGCGATCAGTTTTGTGCTAGATTGTGGACGTCTGACAGTTCTGGTTTAGTTGGTGGACTCGATCGCATAACTTGTGCCCACAATTTCCCATGTTACAGATGAGATGGCAAATTATATGACAGGTGAATATAGTATATACTTTTCTTGCCGAAAAAGAAGAACGAGACAAATGACCAACACAAGTTTAGGCTCGAAAAGGGGAAAAAAGGCAACGAAAGAGCTAGTGGAAATTTGGAATACTGAGGAGGGAACTTGTGTTGCTCATTAGCCTCATGCATATGGTAGACTGGCAATCGGCAACGGCTAGCAATTGGCAATGGCGGTAATGAAAACGTAACCGTAATGCTGGCATGGAGCTGGTGGACAATGAGCAGCATGTCAATAACGACATGATCAGGATTAGTATAAAATTGACAACTAAATCAGACTTGACACGGGGAAAGTGGCCAAGATGGCGAGGACTGGCAACAAAGTATGGCAGAACATTGGCCAGACAGGAACAATGAATGAATGAAGGGTCTTGCACATGGGTGCAGGCCCAATGTCCAATAGCAAGCACACACATACCATGTACATGTACATACCGAATGGGGTAGCTTTTGACTATGGGCCCTTGAGTGACTAAAATATTTATGCCTTCCGTGGTGCTGTAGTGATGCTAGCGGACGACAAGCATTCGCCTATAGATTGGTGTATTAAAAGAGACAGCCATGGATAACATAAACAGTACAATGGAGATCAAACGGTGCAATAAATTTGCTGGTTTCCAAAATGTGGAAATACCGGTGTAAGCAAATGGGCGAATATGTGCATATGCAATGGTACATATAAGCGCATGGGCTCGCCTTTACCAGTAACTCTGAGCTCTGCTGACGAGACCTAGCAAGGTCGGAACGGCTCGCTGTCCGGAGATGGAGTATTACACTTCCTCAACTCCGCTTAGTTGAGGACTCTGTCTGAATAGTGTCAACGTTATCAGCCCTCATGCAAAGTTTTCTGTGTTTCTCTGTATTAGAGCACTCTCACGTTGATGCTTTGAGCCGATAACAGTTATAAGCATGCTTTGTTGATCACTGGACTTCATTATGATCAGCTCGGCCAGTAACCATGGTAACTCTGACCTCTGCTGATGAAATATAAAACAAGGTTGAAACAGATACCTATCCTAAGGAGCCATCCGGCATTATCGATAATTTTCACGAAACGAAAAAGTTTAGTTATGGTCCTCCCCCGCCCACCCACTGCCCTGAACGGAAAAATTTAGACTGGATTGATGTTTCAGCTATCATTTTTTTTCCATAATGAAACTCTCCTCGACCCACCACCCATAAATGAAACTTTTTTCGTTTTGTGTAAAAGATTGATAATTATTGTAAAGATGAGAGGTACATGGGCTTATACGTGAAAATAGCTCCATTAATCAGTCATGTCATGGTGTAAAAATGACCATGTTTACTGTAAAAGCCATATATATACATGTAACGAAGTGCTAACTCTAACAAGTTAACGAGGAGAAATCTGTCGTTAAAATAGAAATCGTTATACAGAAATCGACACATATACTGTCCTATTGAGCGTTGAGAATGAGTGAGAATCGTTACCTTTGGTACACGTAAATTACCGTATTTCCCCGTAAGTTAGTATGTACTAACTTTCGAACTTAGCAGCCACATGAGTACTAACTTTCGGGGAGTACTTTTTTATCGGGGGGTAAATGACACGCAGTGGGAAGCCTGCGCAACTCTAGTATCCGTGCATATGATGTATGTACTGTACGGTGTCTGTACATGTAGGACGGGTACGAACTTACTATCTTTCGGGGGGAACTGTCTTTCGGGGTGATAACCTCGGCAGTGGAAAGTGTATTTTTTATAGGGGGTACTAAGTCATTGGGGAGAACTAACTTACGGGGAAATACGGTAGTCAATTTTGGGAAATCGTTATATATGCGCCTCGTTAGAATAATGGCTTTTACAGTATAATTATGACATTTGTACACGCTCATGCGTTTCATCATTTCAACCCAGCAAAATGCATGACAATGTAATATTTCTGTATTCTGGTTGAGCTTAGATGCAAAAATTGTGCTACAATAATCACATTGCATGATGAAAACACTTGCATGTAAGCCTCTCCCCTGCGCCTATACATGTACATGCAGACATACGGTCGATGATTGATGCCTTCATGGCGGTGTTGTAAGTGATAGAACAATAAGTATTGCTGTACTGGTGGCTGCGTCTTCAATGACTCTGCATGCTCATACAATGTACATGTACTGGGTCAGGTACACACAACAGAAAAGTAATGCTCTCCAGAAAATCTGTATACTGATATCTCTCAGTGTAGCAATGTATGGTGTAGAGAGAAGAAAATAATTCTGAAGCAGTAAAGAAAGGCAAGCACAATTAGGCCATACACACACCTGTCTCCTTAGTACAGTTCCAAGGTTGCAGCGACTGAAGACTTTTAGAGAGAACATGTCCCAGCTATAAAGTAAAAATGGATCGTGTAAACAAATTACAGCCACCACATCCTCGTGTGCTAGTGTTTGAAATGGCAGAAGCTAGCCAGACCTGACTTGGATGGACACCAGTACACTTTACTCTCCATGAAATTTCAAAAGACAAATACAAAACTATTCTGAGTATAGCACTACAAAGTCTACACATAATAATAGTTCCTGACCAAATCACAACACTGAAAATGTGAACATATTCACACACCAAATCAAAAATTTGAACAGAACGTGAACGTGAGAGAGGCCGTACCCGTGCCGATGTCATAAAATCTGGAAGTACGTGAGTTGCCGTACAGATAGTCTACGTCGTTATTTTACAACTGCAAGCCCAGGCCGACCCCTGACCTGCGACAGGAGTTCAACCAAGCCGTGTGCTCTGCACAAAACCAACACAAGTGTCAGTGTTGTTGTTTTCATAATCTCGATATCCAGCTGGGTGTCTTGTTTCAATCATGGCTCTACTTCGCTCCAGTAAAGCTGTCGTTTCACAATGCTTCTCCCGAAGCTTGTCCGTATCGGCCAACAAGCTGGGAAGACCCGAGCCAGCATCGTCACCGAACATGTTGGATATCGGAACCCGACGTATTTTCAATGAAGATCACGACATGCTCAGGGAGGCGTGCAGGAGGTGTGTGCATGGACAAGTGCTTCCACATCTTTCACCTCGTTAGAGTTTTCCGTCGGAGTTACAATAATCTGATGTTCGTCTGTTCTCCTGCTCACAGATTTGTGGAAGCTGAAATTGTCCCCAACCATCGACAGTAAGCTTTGAGTGATCAGATTCTCATTGTGCACGATACACTCTACATGTATTGCCATCTACATAATTATAGAGTAGAACCCGGGTTAAGGGTCACACCGGATTAGGGATCGGTGCCCGGGGGGGGGGGGGGGGGGGTCACTTGGCACGTACATTGTGCGGGTGATCCTTATACAGTACCGGGATTTAATTTCCGGCCCAAGGGGGGGGGGGGGGTCCCCCGTCGGTTTCCGAGGAAGCCGCAACTTTTTTTCGCTCCAAACTATTTTTCCGGGGCCCATCTACTCACAAGAAGTCGTTTTGCACACCTTTTTGCCCATCCCTTTACAACTGAGTCCAGCTATGTCCGCGCAGAGTCAGGTGGACCCCTAACCCGGGTTCTACTCTACATGATCATAAAATTAATAGTTCTAGAGCATGACTGTGCATGTTAGGCCTTACAACAATGCAGTATTATCCTTTACTGCACAGTATCACGTAAGGGTTGCCTGTGCTACATCCAACCAGCGCTTCCGCAAGCGGGCGGGTGTTCGTGTGGTGACGCGTACTACGCTTATGCAGGCAGTAATTCCGTGTACTGCGGCAATTTACCCGCTGAATTAGATCACTCTGCACATGCCCGCTCGTCAGTTGAATCCTCCACTTCTCTCAGGCAGGTTGCTGTTTTGGTATGATCGATCATACTTCATCGATGGACAAAATTGCCATGAACTACACCAATCACCAAAAGAAGCAAGAAGCCTAAAAATGGAGGACTCCACTGACGACGGACGTGTCAAGAATAATCTCATTCAGCGATCAATACACAATATGTCTGCCTTCCTGCACCTTTGGACTTCTATGTTCACTCCAAAGTGCGGGCCGGCAGCATTGATGATGTAGGTCGTCCTTCTACAGTACAGCCTTTGCGCACTTAGTCGACTATTCAAAGACCTGGAGCACGACACCTGGAAAAATTGAAGGCAAATATGTTCCAGTGTTGCACATTTGTGGCATGGCTGCACTATTTTCAAGTATATGTACTGGTGAAGGCTGGCAATGAGCTGTCAAACAAAGTCAAAGATCCAGGCGTACGGTCTCAACGAATAGAACTGCAAGTCGAGGCCAAAGATGTAAAAGAAAAGGACTTGAATTGCTGCTCTTCACCCTATAATGGAATGCCGATCCAAACATGCAATGAATTATTTACTGCACCGCGTACTCGTTCGTATACATTCAATATCGGCTTGATACGCGACCTTATAGCTTACAGCTAACGCCGTTCGGTCATGTATCAGTCAGCATTTCCCTTGTACGCACTCGTACTCGAACATTGAATCATACATGTATGTGTATGTTTAGTACATCAGTTGTGCCATGTAGTGTTTTGACAACACACAGTATATCTAGTCAGTAGTGGAAACACTGGCTAGTCCAGACTTTGCTAGAGATTCCATTTTGCCTGCAGGATAGCATAGCACCCGGCATCACTACATCACAATGTTAGCATGAGGATGTGATATTGATATTATATTATTCAGTGTGTTACCATATTGCACCAGTAACCAGTAACCGATACGTCATGCTGTTATGAACACAGCGCTTCCCCGCACGGAAGCGCATAAATTATGCTTATAATTATGTGAAAAGTCGCTGCTTTTGGCAGAATCGAGACGTTACTTTTGCTTGCGTGCTAGTATAGCTGTACAGCAGACCATAAAATGCACTTGGCCCCTTTTATGGGTGCGGAGGCCAGCTGCACTCTAGACATACAGTCATGTAATACTATGATTGTATGAAGTGAAGATCATGAAATTTTTACTTATCTCTGTTGTATGGACTGAAGTTTCGTGGCTATGAATATCATGTTGTTTAATTATGTGTCTTCTTGCAGGTGGGAGCAGGACGGTATGGTCAGCAAAGAGGTACGACAGTCTTGTTCTGTGACGGCTCGAATTACTTTAGCATGTGTGTTTGTGTGTGGGCGTGGGTGGGTGGTGGGACGCATATTTCTCTGGGCTTCCAGGTTGCCGAGAACCCCCGGCATTCGGTCAAACTGGCATTGACATCATGGAGTAGATGCCTAACTAGTACACTGTCTACAGGCTGCACACTGCAGCAGTACTATCATTGATTGATTGAGGGATTCATTGGTCACTAAGTGTGATACTGACAGTCTATGTATCATCTCCTGTGATGATGTGGAGATGCGTATACTGAAGTAATGGGAAGTGTACCTGTGCTTTTTTGTTTTGTTTCTAACAGATTTGGGAGAAAGCTGGCAGCAATGGATATTTGAATGTGAACATTCCCGAGGAACATGGCGGTATTGGTGCTGATTTCAAGTCTGCCATGGTGATTGCTGAGGAAGTGTAAGTACATGTATGCGTGTTGTGTTTATCCCTGCGTGACTGCTCTAAGACTGCCACCGATATTTCTTCGGCGTAATTTTCAAGCTAGGAGGGATGTACGTGTCCTGGGTTTCACGAATGCCACCAATGCTTTGTGTCTCCTCTTTACTATGGTTGCTTTTGCTGCACGCCCGTTCGCATGTGTGTGTGTGTGTGTGTGTGTGTGTGTGTGTACTTGTGTGTATTTGTGTGTATTTGTGTGTATTGTACAGCATTGGAAGTGGGTGCACTGGTCCCTTCTTTTCTTTGCACTCTGACATCATCGTGCCCTACATCTCCAAGTATGGCTCTGATGAGCAGCGGAAACGCTTCATCCCGGCTATGACCGCTGGAACTTGCGTGACAGCTATTGGAATGTCAGAGCCAGTGGCTGGAAGGTTGGTGCGGGTGGTGGTCATTAGTGTGCGGGTGTTCCATCAGTTCCTATGCACCATTGATATCCAATGTCTTCCATTGCTTATCATACTTACCATACCATACTTTTTCGATTTTAAACTACCAAGCAAGGCTTCTATATTATATATCATACTTGTAGGTTTTATTCTGTTCTCAGGAGTTCCAGGGGCAATGTTGCTACATGTACCTCCTATCTGGCTGGTCCATTTGGCCCAAGTATGATGCTATTTAGAAGCATAATGTTTACGTTAAGTTGTGAACCTATGACCGGCCGTATTCAACTTGTGTTCTTCTCGCAGAAGATAAGTGTGCATGTGGAGCCGAGTTTTTTCTTTCATTTTTGCACACAGACTATTGAGTTGATAGTGACATGTGTGTTTGTGCATGTTCATATTTCCTGTGTGACTATCCCAGTGATCTGCAGGGTTTGCAGACTCATGCTGTGCGTGATGGAGATGACTACATTCTCAACGGCAGTAAGGTATGGATCCTCAGGTACACTTGCCCTACCAGTACAGTCATTATGTCTGCTATGTGACACTACATGTGGTATACTAGTATGCTACTTGTAGGTAAATTTATATCTGGGGCAGTTCTTGCCTTGTCCTGTGGTGTGGTAAGGAGAATTGGAGATGTATGTACTGGCACGAGAGTTCACCAGTATTAGCTAGAAGAGGATTACACATGGCTTTCTTTGTATAAGTACCCCCCCCCCCCCTGTATCTTCTTTCCCGGTGCCAGGTCATGTCTATGACGACAGTGCCTGACCTTATTTTGAGCAAAGTTGCCCCGCCCAGTTCATGCAAAACGTAGTTTTCATCAATAATGCTCCTTCCGGTCAGATAATATAATTATTCAAAGCCACGCCGTATGGTTTACACTTAGTCAAACGTTTCACAACTCAGTAACGCCACTTAACGTTAGTTCATTGGTCTACAGCATAGCACATGACCCAGAGATTGTGCTTGCTGGATCTGGGGAGTTCGGATAAGGGGACTTTGAAGTGCCGTCTTAGAGAAAATCTGGCAGATAACTCATTGTCGTTTTCTCAACTCTTTGGTTTTGGGTTTTTTTGTTGTTTTGCAGACATGGATCTCCAATGGTCAGCTTGCTGATGCGGTTGTAGTCGTTGCCAAGACGAAGAAAGAAGGACGTGCAGCCCATGGACTTTCACTCTTTGTAGTGGAGAGAGGAATGCCTGGATTCGAGCGTGGCAAGAACTTGAGCAAAATCGGCCTCAAAGCACAGGTATACCTCTTTCACCATGTGTATTTGTAGATGATTTCATTGTCTTGGAGCTCATCGCCTGAGATAGTATGCTTCATGACTAGTACTTGATCTGGATATCATGTGGCTCTTCTCCGTTGCTGCTTCTACAATTGTAAGCCGTTGTAGGATCAGTCCAGCATGGACTTTTCTCCAAACTGGGCACCATATCGCGATGACTTTATGTATCTTTTCCGGTTTCATTTTCTTCCCGCAGGACACCAGTGAGTTGTACTTCAGTGATGTGCGTGTACCGGCCTCCAACATGTTGGGAGAGGAGAACAAGGCATTCTACTACATGATGAATGAGCTGCCACAGGTAGGTAACAGTGACATCAGCTACTTCATCGCTCGTCAACATGATAGAATTACAACGATCCCGCAGACAGAACTTACCAGTTCAGTGTGGACTGATGTTTTGTCCGAGACGATCATGAGACAATGCTGATGTTGGCACTATGCACACTGTCGAAGCAGTGGAATATTCTGAGTGCCGCTCTCTGACTATGGGTCATTTGCATGCCAGGGAAGCATGTGTTCCTCTTGTCCATCTCCATTTTGTACTGATATTCTGCTCTGCTTAGCGCCAAGCTGAACACACCTTTGATGGCATTGTGGCAAAGCAGAGTTTGTACTCACATGATGTGGATGCCCTTCTGTGCTACAATGTGCTTGGTTCTTTAGGAGCGTCTTTGCGTAGCAGTGATGGCACAGACTGCTGCCGAGGCTCTCTTTGAATGGACTCGAGAATACTTGCAGGATAGGAAAGCTTTCGGTGGTCCGCTTTCAAAAATGCAGGTTGGTGCTTATGTGCGTCTTTTAATTAAAGTGAAGTGACTGCATCCGTTAGGTACTCATTCATATTGATGCTCTGCTGTCTGCTTAGGCCGTCATCACACCACGTTCTCCGACTCCCGTTTACGTCTACGTCTATGGTGAAAAAACCAAAACGGGTGGTCGTGTCATCAGACAAGCGCAGTTCTTGAAGCGTACACGCAGTCAGGTTATTGGAGAAATTTGAACGCACGTACATCGAAGTGCAGGGTCGCTCTGAAAAAGGCTGGGGGAGATACGCACGTTCATACAAAAAGTCGTATACGTCTCCCGTTTTCACCCCGTATACGGATCATCATGACAACCGGCCAAAAACTCCTTACGTGGACGTAGACGAAGCACTTTGTACCATGGTGTGATGACAGCCTTACCGCCACTAATGATCATCATGTCCATGCACATGTGTACACACACACACACACGCACGCACGCGCGCACACACACACACACACACACACACACACACACACACACAATATGCATGTAGTCATGCACACTCTGTGTGCGTGCGCAGTGGCGATGCCATGTTGTATTTTTGGATCTCACGCACGGGTTAACAATTAACGTACGCTTTCTTCTTGTGGTGTGCAGTTGATCAAGCATCGCATGGCAAAGATGAAGACAGAAATCTCTGTGGGCCGTGCATTCATCGATAGCTGCATTGAGCGTCATGATGTGCATGAACTAGACTCTGCCACTGCTTCCATGGCCAAATCCTGGTAAGATATGCCTGATCTATGTGTGTTTAAAACTTACTTGTGCTCTCAAGTGAGTTCTCCGTGAAGGAGGCGTCGTTACTAAGTGTTGTGCTTGCAGTCCGTGTACATGTAGAGTAAAGGCACTGCTGTCTTTGCACCATGGTGATGAACACTGCTGTCCTTGCACCATGGTGATGAACACTGCTGTCCTTGCACCATGGTGATGAACACTGCTGTCCTTGCACCATAGTGATGAACAAGTACAGCCTACACTCTAGATCTACTTCAAATGTTTAAAAAAATTCTGTTTGCCATTTGCTTGATCTGTGCATGTACTTCAGAGTACCTGTGCAGGCCCTGCTAAATTCAGCTATTTTTAGCAGAGTCCCAAGGTCAACAAGGTCTGCTGCTGTGTATGCCAGTGTACTGTCTGACTTTCCTAGACTCATGTTGTGCTGTGTTGCGTTGTACGTGACTGCTATGCAGGGCGTCTGAGCTGCAGAACCGCGTGGCTGACGAGTGTGTTCAGCTTCATGGTGGTATGGGCTACATGTACGACTACAAGATTGGCCGTGCTTACGTCGATGCTCGAATTCAACCTATCTATGCTGGCACCAACGAGATCATGATGGATCTGGTGAGCCGCACAATCTTTCCCAACTAGATCCTGATTCAAACCGTTGAATATAACTGACTTCAAATGACATTGTAGTCCCATCACTAGCAGGCTCCTCTCTTTTTCCACAGTATTTTCTATAATAATTTCTACTTCAGAGTTCTCAACAATTCTTTAAAGCTGCGGCTAGCCATGTCATGGAAGTTGGGATACCGGTAGTTCTATGAGAGTTCTTATACAAGTAATTCAATCCAAGTCATCTGATGTTTATAGTACGTTTACTATTTATGCAGAAGTCCAGTACAGGTGGCGTGATAACGGACTGTGGTGTGAGATTTACGGACATACTAGTGATACTCAGGTATGGAGAATATTTCTTCTCCCACGTCACAGTCTTGACATAGATTGCCTGCAACCAATCCTACTTTGGATATACTGACTTTTTGGCCGCTTTCCTAGTTCTTCCTTAGTGTCCCTTACTGCGCCTTAGTGAACTTTAGGTGGTGCAACAGTGTTTACTATTATTTCCTCTCCGGACCATGGATTGTTGAGCATGTGTGTCAAGCCCCATTATAATTATACTCTCGGTGGAAGTGAACGGTGACCTGTGCCAGGCTTGCCTAAAGGCCCATCCACAACACCACTTTTTGCGACACGCATGTCGCAAAAGTTGAACTTTGGTCAACTTCTGCAACGGTGGCCTTGCGACTGCTACGACAGTACGTGACAGGCATTCCCTTGTCGCAAGTGCCGTTTGTCGCATGTCGAGTCGCAAAAAGTGGTATTGTGAATGGGCATACTCCATGTCGGCACATCCCTGTAATGCATGCATGTGATGGCATTTCCTTTCCTTGCATTACAATTTTGCTGGGCAACACTTTCTCCACACAAAAAAAATGCTCCACAGAATGCCGAATATTGTAGTGTCTTGTTTTTTTTACAGCCTGCCTCACATAGAACCCTGCTTTGAATACAAGCCTGAATTTCAAGGTGCACTCGTGGCACATAAAACGATAAGAACTTTAAAAAGCCTGGTTTTAGTGTTGACATACATAGAAACACCTGGTTCGCATAAAAGCCTGACTTGAATAGGCTGTGAAGAAGCCTGGCACTAACATCTACGCGTACTTCTACAGGAATAAGCCCAACATGTAATGCGCGACATTATAGTACCATTGATCCCTGTGTCGGTCCCATCCAGCTGTTTGTCAGTAACTGTATAGGGGTAGATCTGTGCATCTTTGTACTCTTGCATGTACCGGCACTAGGCAAAGCCCGATTTTGCCAGGGAAGCTTCGATATTTTGCCGCATAATTTTGCTGGCTCATCGTCGATATTTTGCTTTCATTTTGCCAGGCCACTCGATATTTTGCTCCAAAATTTGTGTCACGTGTGGGAAAACTGACCGAAAGTGGTTCACGTGTTGGCAAAACTGTGCGAAAATGAGTCACGTGCACCGTATAAGTGTAAAATCTCCCAATTTCCAGCGAACAGACCGATATTTTGCTCCATTTTGCCAGTAAATTCCCTTTCAAAATTCTTCGATATTGTGCTAGCAAAATCGGGCTATGCCTAACCGGCACATGCATATGAATGTCACAAATCTTTCTAATAAAAAACTCATGGAATAGATAGTAGTACACCAAAATAAAAATAAATCCACCTTCTCTCGTGCCAACACACCTGGGTGCTCGATTCGTTAGAGTACAAACGCGCTGAACTGGAGCTCTAGTCATGAAAGTTCCTTTAGTGTGCAGGGTGTCTGATTACCGCACATCCGGCTCACAGAAAGGAAACCACAGCTAGCAGCATACTCTAGTTGATGCACTCCTGCTACCATCCAGTAAACCGTGAGCACATGCGGCATTGCACAAACATCTCACAGTGAAACTACAATGCTCTGAAGAACACAGGCCACTTGTAAGATAGCGAGGTTGAAACGGTTACATGGAATAGAGCACAGCTGGCTATCTCAACTCTCAAAATGATTCTAAAGAAAGGAGAAAAACCAAAGGATCAAGTTAGTCAAAACAAGAACGAGGACAAACTTGGACAGAACAACACTAGAGTTGTACTTGTAGAAGCTGAAATCAAACAAGAAAGTGAGATGTGAAAAATCAACAAATATCGGTAAAATTAATAGTAAATACGGTGGGGGTAAGCCAATAATAGCAGATGACTAGTAGTTGTGTTTGGAATGCCGGGGAAACGGGTCAGTTCTTGAGCATGAATGTTGATGTAAGTAGTCAGCAGCAAGCAGCTAATCAGCACACACACTGCACATATAATGCATGCCTTGGAGTACGCATGTACCCACTCGACACTACGTCCAGTACACAGAGCAACATACACACACGCACCAGTATCACAGTAATATGATGGGGAGAAGGAGGCAACCAACACACTCCAACAGGACACAAATCACAGAACTTGATGAAGATGATGCGGTGGAAAATCTGGTCTACATGGTGGGTGTGAGTCATGGGGTCTACAGCATGAGTGCAACCACATAGGAAGGTCACTAGTAGTTTACCAGCAAAATATACCACCCACGCAGTTGCTGCCATTCTAAACAACTGGGTGAGAAAACAGTGCTAGCCATCATCAGTACAAACTCTGCACTAGCCGGATGAGGACGGTTGCTTGGTAAGCTTCAAAAGAAGTGGCGGCTTCTTTTCCTCCACTTCTTTGCCTTTTGCCTTAGGTGAGGGAAGCCGTGCACACCAGCTATCTGCAGTGTTCGTGGCCAGTGACTGAGGAAGCTTGGCATTGCTAGACTGAACTGTGTCACAGCCTGATGGAGCACATGGGCTACTGGGATTAGACGAAACGCGAGAGGCGGCCAATGATACAGATGCCGATTCAGGTAGACTCATGAGAGAAGCATGTTCGTTGAGGGCAGTTGTGACATTGGATAGCTGTTGACTGCACTGTTCTTCCATTTGTAGCCGATGCATTTCAGCATCTGTAAGCGGAAAGACGCGCTCATCCCAAGGTACCACAAAGCAGCACGGCATAGGCTCTTCACCGAGAGACGACGTACTGCGGCTTAGTGACGGCGTCTTGCGAGAAGACTTGCGACACGAGACATTGCCTGCTGCTTGACTGGCATCATCCTGGCTTCCAGCGACTGTCAAACTAGGCGCGCGTGCAGCGTCTCCTGGTGATGAGCGCAATGACTGGCTGTTGCACATGGGAGAGGTTGGAGCTGTCAGCATTGCTTCAGGCGTGGTGGGTAAACTGGAGCTGGCACGATTTGTTCGTCTCTTCTTGTCGGCACCCTGAAAACGAATTCGCTCAGCCGCCTCAAGAGTTTCATGGCGCTTAGCAAACATCTCATCACTGATATCCTCCACATCCTGCAAGACAAGTACAAACAAACACAAGAAGGACAACAGTGTTGCTTGTACACTGCTTGTACACTGCACTGATCAATCACACTCAAAACAAATGAAACAAGGCAACGCGAAGGTACACACATGCAACAGGAACTATCACCTGTCAGCCAAACACAATGAAGTCAAGTGAAAACTGAAGCCAGATATCAGGCACGTGAGAACGTACGTTACACGTACACATGCCAGCATGGAAATTAAATGGCTAAAAGCACATGTCTTTTCACGTCTTTCCGCCAGGAGACGGGTGCATGTGCATGGTGAACAGCCTTTACGCTCCCTCTCAAGGGCATGAAACCAGGGTTCAGATTTCACTTCCATACCCTTACGCTCATGCACACACACGGTCAGCCAATCAACTTACATCATCTATAACCATGGGTTCATCTTCAGCGAAGACATCACATACTCGCCACCTAGGAGTCGCAATCTCCTTATAGTTGATCTTCTCTACACGTGACGGCGCAGCTAACGGGACAACAATGCTGTGAATATCGTACGGGGATGAGGAATTGCCACGCTTTTGTCGACGAGTTGCAGACTGTGATTGCTGGCGGGACAAACTAGCTGGTGCGGCTGCTGCTGCTGCACTGGGTGTGCTAGCAGTTGGTGTGTTCTGACCAGACTGAGCTGAGCGACGGATGGGCGTTCGTGTTGAGCTAGTGCTGGAAGAATCGGCTGTGAGTGAGATTCCTTTTGGACGGCGTGCTCCATCTGGTATAAAGAAGAAGAAAAAGACCAGCAGAAGGGTTAGAGACATGACTGTACTGCATATCAGCTACAGTGGAACCCTTTTAACTATGGACACCCTCTGGGAAACTGACATATCTGTCCTGCATCGGCATTGCCCTGATTACAGAGCGTATTGAAACTTGCTATAGGCATTAGGAACTGAAGAAATGTTTGTTCGGAATGTGCAAGTATCCTCTAAGGGAGGTTCTACCATACAGGTACGTCCATGACAACGAGCGGTGAAAGGAATGTACCAAAATTCATGTGCTTCTCAATACAAGTAAGACAGCGAATACCAGCTTAATTCGAATAGTCCCTTCGTGTCTGAAGGCCGTGGTCCGCATGGCCGTCTACAGTACCAAGTGCGATCTAAACCAGGAATGTCCATCAGCTGCAGGCCATGTGAGATTAGACTTTCAGCCGGTGTCAGTGGCAGCTTTCAGTTCTGTCAGAGAGCTACATCTACTGCCGCTGTCCTGTGTTAGGTCAAGCTGCCAAGTCATGGCATAGACACAAAGCCTGTTTTCAATGGCACGGTTCACTGTAAAGGATATCATTGGATCACAAACGGATATTCGAATAGTGAAGCTTGGTATTCATGTCACTGCTAGTAACAGTTGAAACAATAAGAGACCAAATGGCGATGTCACCTGCAATACACAACTTGAAAATATCTTACCCGTAGACTTTCGCTGAGATGTTGGCGTAGGTGTGAGTGGTGGTGCATTAGCTGAATGAGCATGAAGGTTGTTAGCTCTCTTTGCGGCACGGACGATGGGTGCAACTGGCGATGTACGACCAGCTGCAGCTGAAGAGAACAAAATATAACAGAGTTCCATTATACCAGTGGTGCATTCCTTCTACCGGAAAGCCATTTATCCCAAAAAAAAACTGCATTTCATTGTGGAAATCACGTGAGAAAACCAAATAGAGTTACTCGTACAACTACACCGCGTCAACAGCAGACCCTTGGACTATTGTACAGATGTACAGACTCCCACAGATGTGTACAGGGCCGATTAGGCATCTCTGGGTCAGGGAGTTATGATGATAAGTTATAGTGTTGCCACTGCATGTTGATGTCATTCAAAAGGGGTATCACTGTACAGACACACCATATCAGGCTAGAAAAGGCATGACTGCTCCTTATGCCGTTATGGTACGGCTCTATTCGCTACCCACACGCTGATGGAATGTGCTTTTGTATCGGACGTCACAGAAAAATAACTTTCCAGAACTACAGGTAATATCAAGAGTGCATAAACAAGAGTATGCAACTGTGGTTATGGGTCAGTGCACGGCGCGCTGCCTTCATCACGCTCTGAAAGCATGCATTCAAATTCTCAATTTCTCGCACGAGCCCATCCGTTTTTGCTCGATTCATTCCAGTACCTACACAATCTCTGAATTCTGGCGCGTGAACTCCAGTTCCGTACGAAAGTTCATTTCAAACTGGAGGGAAAGTGCGGTGTTTGATTTTCCGCAGTGCGCGGACTGCAGCTGAGTGATGTAATGAAGGCAGCGCGTCGCGCATCTGGCCCATAGAAAGAGATCACAGTTGCATACTCTTGTTTATGGACTCTTGGTAATATTAGTCATTGGACCAGTGGCGAGCGTGAATGGAACAGTCGTAAACAATATACATAGATTTAGATCTATGCTGCGCAGTGTGTGCGTGCATGTGTGCGGGCCACCAATCAGTACATACACGGCTGAAACTGCAGCGGGCATTCACATTTTCTCAAAAACTTACCAGGCGCTAGCTTCGATCGAGGTGTCCTTAGTTTCTTCGAGTGCTGGAAAGAGGACCTGAACATGACACACAAGGAGCCAGGAGTTACAGGAGAAGGTCAAGCAAGACGAGAGCTTGCATTTACTATGACAAGTCAAATACACATCTAAATCTTTGCTAGAAGACCCGCACAGCCAAGCGTTAAAGAATACAATACTGTCATGTACATTGCATTACGCTAGTATAGCTGTCAGTCTGAAGATCTCATTGGAAACACAGGCCAGACAAGTTACCATGAGGCAGGGTGCGGTAGTCGGTGCAGCCAGTTCTCACCTTCTGATATGATGTGGTGGGTTCACCGAAGCAGAAGAATGTTCTTGATGTCTTATAGAGGACTCCAGGCACACCGATAGCGGAATGTCTACAGAACGAACATGACACAGAATTACTGGTACGTGAAATGATGGTTGCAGCAGACACTGAACAGGAGGGCAATAGCAACGGAACTAGCACACACAGCGTTCAAAATGAGGGAGTCCTCCATGACTGAGCTCCATACTAGGAAGCGGGAACAAATTTCCGTAGATGCACACTGAACCCGACGAGTCCACATACACTAATTAGGTACATTCAGCTGCACAGAACACAAAGGAAATAAGCCAACATAGCGATACCGGAGTACACGCTTCGCCCACCAACCTGAATGGTATGATAGAACTGGGTGATAGGAGTTATCCAGCTGCTCCATGATTGTTGGTTCGTGGCAGGAACTGGACGTTTTGGAAACCGCACTGGGATCGTACACATGGTTGAACCATGGGAACTGCTGACCAGAGGGAGCTTGATCCAGTAACCCGGTTGTTGACGTCGGGCAATGCAGGACACGTCGCTTGGGCAAGTGTGACAATGGTTGCACTCTAGCGGCATGGTCTCCACCAGAGGAGGGTTTAGAATTAGCCGAGCTGGAAACATTGCTAGCAGTTGGTGGCACACCGGAGACTAAACTGTGTCCACTGGTAGTAGTAGAGACGCCAGCACTGGTAGAAGCAGCAGCAGCAGTGGCATGTGGTGTTGTGGAATGCACACATGACGGAGTAGCCACAGAAGTGGAATCACCGTCAACTGAGCCAATGCTGGTTTGCGATGTAGCCGAACTAACAGATGATCTTCTCTGGTGTGGAAAGCGATAAGGACGCCGTAACGAACGTTGCCGCAGAAGCACGTCTTGTTGAATACGAATACGATGCTCTAAGTCTGAGATCTGAGCACCCAGCCAGCTTATTCTGGAGGCTATTTGAGCCCGACCAGCTTCGTATTCAGCCCTTGCAACACGCTGAGCTGCCAAGCTACAGTAAGACAACCAGGATAAGAATGCAGACACATGCAGGGAAAGCTATTGCTTGTGAAATCATTCACAATTTCAGGATGCCAAGGAACACAACAGCATTACTATCATCAGTAGGGGAAGGTGCATTTGCGTGTGCCTGTGGTAATTTTTTTTTAACGCACATGGACACTACTTTTGTGGGTTCACAATTTCATACAATATACTCAGAAAGAGGAAAAGAATACTAATTGCATGCGTCTAAGTTCAAGCCACATTTCATAATCAAACAGGGCTCCAAGGTTACAATGACACTAATAGTAATACAGTGACTATGCGGTTTTTGGCAAAGCTTAGTTGTCCGCACGATAACGTCGACACTGTGACTTGGGAAACAAGCGGTATACAGTATTCATCAGTATCAAGTCACGCTCTTGCTCTTGTAGTGTGCTACGGCTACCTACATTCGGCACAGGAGACCTGTCCACTATTCAATTTCACAGCTGGCAGCAGTGGGGTTCACTAATTCCTCGCCAGCTGCAACACTGGCAAACCAGAAGTGCTGCCAGATATGGATGGATTTGAAAATCACAATTCACCAGTAGATTGCACATGTGTACATACGCAGCATATGATTTGTACAGTCTTGTTGATGTGCAATAGACCATGCATGACGGTTATACGCATCGGTACACACATACGAACTAATGAGAATAGGCCACGGCTGTTCAAAACTCGCGAAAAAGCGACATGAGGCCCCGGGTTCGAGTCCAGGTCAATCAACTGTGTTTTTTCAAATTTTTCGCTGAGAGCCTCAATTTCGCGATCCTCACCCACGTCTCAAACCCATCAATATTGCCTCGCCACGTCGCTCACACACCACTCAGAACACCCAGTCCCGGTGCAGCAGGTGCAAGAGAAAATGCTGACAACTCGATCGCTCGAACGATCTTCTTTCTCCGTTTCGTTTTCCTGTTGGAGCCGTTTCCAGTGTTGAGAGTTTGTTTGTTTTGAAGTCGTAGCGTAGGAGCTGGGTTCACCCGAGGTCGTTTTCCTAAGGCTGCTGCTGCTCTTCGTCCTGTTTTCCTGGGTTAGTTTTTAGTTTTCTGTGCTTGCCTTGCTGGTCTAGTTTCCAATTCTGCACAAATCTTGCTGGACCGACGTACTTTGCCTTAGACCAAGGCGCCTTTGTGATGCCAACTTTGCATTGAATATGGATCAACACGTGCAGTACCTTTCAGCTGTGTGCAGAATTGGTGGGGAGAGATTCTCGTCGCATGCCAAAAAAAACAAGCATGAAGCTCACGAATACTCCGTTGGCATACAGCATGTCTTTGAGTGCGATGTCACCAAGGATGAGGCACACATACATCCACGCTACATCTGTAGCCCTTGCCATCAAGTTATTTTACGTAGTGAGGAAAAGGGGTACAGGCACTGTGGTGGTGGCTGTGCAGGCAAACTTGTAGCTTGGGTGGCCCATGCAGAGCCAGACTGTACGTTCTGCAAGAACATGAAAAGTAGCAGCAAGGGTGGGAGGAAACCAAAAAAGAAAAAAATGCCTACATACAGTAGTACACAGCACTCTGCATTGTCTTCGTCGGCTTCCGCGGCCGCGTCAGCTTCCGCAGCCGCGTCAGCAGACGACAGTGCCACATCTACTGGCATTGATCTTGAAAGCATGCAGGTGCTTTTGGACATGGGGTCGCCTTCCTACAAAGCGAGCCAGGTGCTGTCACCTGATCGGTTTCAATTTATTTTCCCTTCTGTTACATGTAGCGTATGCCGGCACGTCGCCGACAATGCACTTACGACGCCTTGCTGTAGCAAGCTAGTTTGTGTGCCATGTGTTTGGGAGCACCTCAGCACTACGCGTACCTGCCCTTCTTGCATGTGTGACATGTATGCATCTGGAATGAGAAAGTTGTCATCATTTGAGCTGGAATGTCTTTCTCATCTGCCAGTGAGGTGTGACAATTACGTGTCCTCTCTTTCTGGCTGCCAGCACAGCATGAAACTGTTCTCATTGCAGACGCATATGAAGGTCTGTCCTTTCAATGCATACAGTGGCCCTGCCTGTGTGACCAGGTCGACTACTGTCGCAGATGTATTGACAGCGTCACCCAGCAAGCTTCGTGGGGAGGCAGCGGAGCATTTGACTACCCACTTGGTACAGTCAAAGTCCACTGATGGTAGGCTAGAGTTACGGACGGGTGGTACCCCTGCTTTGTATGTGCGTACAACGCAAGGTGGCAGTGATGCTGTGTCTGTAAGGCAGATGCAGAGGAGGTCGGCAGAAATCCGACAGGCGAAAGAGGTAGTCTGTGGGGGCACTGTTGGTGTCGGTAAGCAAGATGCCTATGAGCTGCGTAGTATGGGTCAGATAGACCGTGAAAATTTGCTTAAATCTGCCGGTGTGTCTCCTTGTGCACCTTCATCTCATTCTGCCCTTGCTTTAAAAGCAGATCTGCACATGCCTTGGAACCAGCTGAGGAAACTGCGGAGGTGGCTCAAGTCCTTTGGGTGTGAGATTGAGTCGGAGAACACCATGCGGCAGCAGCTTGCGGCAGAGGTACCTGCATTTTATGCTTCCGAAATGTGCCCTTTCACTCTTCCGGGTGGTGATGTAGTTTCGTCACCAATGGTTGTGGCATGCAACCTCACAGAGATTGTCCTTTTCTTCTTGGACCAGTACGAGGAGGCTGGTATGCTTACCGACCATGGTGTTATCCCGCAGGATGAGATTTGGGTGAAGTTAGGGGGAGATCATGGGGGCGGGTCTTTCAAATTATCCTTCCAGGTTTGCAACATCCCTCACCCAAATGCTGTGAAAAACACCATCCCTATCCTTGTGTTCAATGCAAAAGATACCCCGGGCAACCTTTCCACTGCTTTTGCGTCACTTGTACAACACATTGACAGCCTTGCTGCAACCACATGGCAGAACAAGTCGTTTCGCCTTATTTTGTTTGGCGACTACGAGTTTCAAACGACTGTTTATGGCCTGTCAGGATCTGCAGGAGTGCATCCGTGTCTGCACTGCTTGAGTACAAAGCAACAGATACAACAGTGCCCCGCTGATTGGGAGCAGCAGCCAGAGCCACGCACGCTCGACACACTCTCACTTCACCATGGCCAATTTATGGCTGACGGTGGGCGCTTATCCAAAGCAAAGCATTTCTACAATGCCATACGTCCTGCCATGCTCTCTGTTCCTATTGATCATGTGTGCCTGCCAGCCTTACATCTTGATCTCGGAATCTATTTATGGGTCTTTGACTCCTTTGTCAAGGAGTGTAAGCATATTGATTTGAAAATGGCATGCGAGGTAGAAGTGAGTGAGGCAGATTCAGCTGCCTTTAAAAAGCTGATAGAAGATCAGAAAGAATGTAAGAAAAAAAGATTAGAACTGGAAGAAAAATCTAGTCAGCTTGCTGTCTTGACTGGCCAGATGCAATGGGTTGCTCTCCATTTTGGCAATCCGGAGCAGCAAAACAACCTCCAGGCTTTGGTTGGTAACCTCCAGCATGCTGCCACGCAAATGCAGCAGCAGGTCACAGCTCTGCAGGGTGACATAAGAAAACACGAGCAGACCCTCACAAATGCAAAGCTCGACAACGGGCCTTGCAACCAGTATGTTGAGGCTGCTTTACAAAAGCACAACATCTGCCGGCAAGTGTACCATGGGGGTTCATTTATTGGCAACCATGTCCACCACGCGCTTACAGACTCCGTCATCACTGACTTGACCTCATTCATTGCAGTTGTTGAGAAGCGTGCACCCTCTCTGGCTGCTGATGCTTCAGCTGTATCCAGCAGATACAAGCTGTTGTTCCAACAATACGCAAAGTGTCACGTCGCATTTTCCGGAACTTCAGCAGTCTCAGCAGAAGTTTGCGACCAGCTGCAGAGCGATATCGACAAGTTTATGGTGTCAGTTCGTAGGGAGATTGTTCCTCGTAGCCTTGGCCGGGTTACTCCAAAGCTGCACCTTTTGGAGTGTCATGTAGTTCCGTTCATGCGGAAGTTCAAAGTAGGTCTTGGGTTGCTTGCTGAGCATGGGGCAGAATCCATTCACAAAGAGTTCAACACCCTTCTTCTCCGTCATGGTGGCATTGTAGATCCTCTACAAAGGCTTCGAGTCACTGTCCAGCAGCACCTTATCGCAGCTCTCCCCAGTTTACGACCTCTGGTCCCAGCTCCTCGCAAACGAAGTAGAAAGGAACAGTCCTGAAATACTTTGTTTGCTCAGTTCAATTTTCAGTGTAGTGCGTTGATCGCGGGTGGTTGGTGGGTGAGTTGGCGTCAGTTCAAGTAAACGAACTGCCTCCAGCTTGCTCGTGAGTAAAGAGCAGAAAACTAACAACGAACTGGACCACCTGCTATCGTCAGCAAAGGAGAACAGCTACAGCCAGGTAATGTATCCATTATCTTTCTCTATCGTTATTATTTTATTCAAATCAGCTTCACAGTTTGGCGATTTCGCTGCATCTCTCATTGATTTGGCATCAGTTCGATCTCACAAACTGTTCACAGCTGGCCGGCAAGACGACGCGCGAGGCCAGACAACACAGGTACACCGAACAGGGCCGACTATTATCAGGAGAGAATAAAACAATTCCTTCAAACTTCATCTTCTCACTCGATGGATTTTGAAAAATTCCTGTTCGAAGGTACGATCGCTTGGCCACGCTACCCCACGCGTACATGTTACCATGGGATTCTGACGTACAGTACGCGCGTGCATACAGCGCGTGCAGTGCAAAAAAATCGACGCCATTTTGCCTGATGTCGCACTCGAAACAGCCGTGAGGCTTTGATGAATGGACACTCGCGTAGCTTTTGAAAAACAAACATGTTATACTCACCTCGGTTGAGATAAGCGCTTCTTCGGAGGGATTTCTAGCTCCTCGTCTGACTCGCCACCAGAGCTACTTTCAGTGCCATCAGAATCCAATGAGCGACATATTGTACGAGCCTGGGCACGAAATCCACGACAACACTTCTGCAGCCGGTCGACCGGTGATCCGCAGGAAGATCGATCAGTATCCACAGCAGCGGCATGCTCGACTTTGGACAATGGCCTCACACAAGGACTCTCCACATCAATGTTGTCCTCAGAAGCCACTTCCTGGCGAGGAAGCCGAGCTCCACCGGGAGATTCAAAGGTCTTTTTTGTCAACAGAGCGCTGAAGTAAAATTGAAGTGCAATTTCAGAAAAGAGAATGACTCCATTCAGGCTCAATCAATAGGTGAAGCTCCAATCCACTGCTACAGTACACAGACATCCCTACACAACACACAGTCATACATATGCCTACCTTGTCGCTTTGGAACACTGGCGAAAAAACTCGCTTCGCTGCAGAAATACGATCCGCTGCCATAGTTTATTGACTCTTTGGTCGTATACATCTTGGTCTGTAAAAGCTGCCTGAAGAAGATGGTCTAAGGGGAAGTGCTGCTCGACGAGAACGGACATCTCGTCAACCAAAGAGTCAAGAATGAACCCCGTGCTTCTACTCCACATCAGTCGAAGAGAACGTGTTCCACGCTGCACGCTCTACGTGTTCCTGCCTTTCATGACTCACCTGATGAGCTGAGCGCGCAAGGCTGATCCTGAGCAGTTTGTAGGTCGTGCACCCACTGCCACCCACAGTGACCAGGTGACCTGGTGGCCAGGCCCAGTGCAGTGGGCCGGCTTCTCTTGCGCGTGCAACGTGAAAAATGGCGGCAAAGGCGTCATTGATGAAACCAGTGCTGTTTGTACAATGCACCTGATACATACACGCGTACAGATCTACGGCGTGTAGATCTTGTACTTGTCCTACATGTAGTTGTAGCCAGGTGATGATGACTGAGTCTGTAGCTGAGCTTCCCCTACATACAGCATGCAGTCAACCAGTTACCTGGTCAACACGCACCGTGTTGACTGTGGCAGTGCTACACTACACTAGTACTACAGTCTACAGAACAGAAGATGTCCGGCCGTATATACGCGTACCTGTACTTCCGGCAGTTCCGCGGCACCGTACCGGTACGGTACGCGGTGCAAATGCTCTGCGCGCGTACCGCGCCGTATTGCTCTTGGTATGGCGCGCCGCCGCGGCGTTGTGCAGAGTGAGTGCACATCGATATCGCCACATGTCCTTTTCGATTTTTGAGTCTTCTGGTTTTTCGGCTGAAGAATATTCGGATAATTGTTGGATCAAATGAATGAAACATAAACAGCTGTTTGAGACGAAGAAAGCTATGCGACACCGCTCCTGGTAACCATCGGTGATGTAGTAAATTGTTGCGGTGAGTTCACTTTGCTCTGTTTGACGCCGAATTCGTATGGAGGATTGATATCGTGCCGCATGTCCTGAAATTTAGGATTGGAGTCAAATCTTCCATTCCGTCTGTAGACTTTACTAGCTGTGTCAACCATTCTACCTGCTCGTTGTCTTTAGAATGGCTGACCATACTTCTGAGTCCTCGCATAATGTCTCCTACAGACTTCAAGCACTGCTAGCGTTTGCATAGCAACTCAGGTGACCAGCCAATAGGTAGTGAGAGCCTCATATTTTCCTTAGCACAGCTTGTGTGAGCCACCCTATTAATTAGGGCCACCAGAAGAATGGATGATAATTTTGTGAAGATTGGCGGAGACCATAAGCCTGGAGCAGGTTGGGAAAAATGGCAGATGTATGCTTTACACAAGCTTGCTGGCGATGATGCGGACAGCTACAAGACAGTAAAGAAGGCTCTGTACAATGCTGCAGTAAATGTCTCCTTTATTTTGGCCGCGGCAGTTGCTTGTGCACTGTATTTCGTCTTCTCGGCATTCACACGTCCTCTACTATGGGCAGTGATGTGTGGTACGTTCCTATTCCCAATGAAGAGTGCTGCGGCAGCTACAGTATTGGATTGGCTGGCTTCACTTGAATTGACGGACCGCCCATTGCTTATAGGCGTTCTCCTGATGCCTTTTCAGCTGCTGAAGAGTTGCGCTGATTTAATTGAGCATATCGTTTGGTCCAATTGGAAGTCACTAGCGCTGCTGTGCTGCGGTATTTCCCTGAGCGTCTGCTACGAGATTCTACCCGTATGGGTTGCATTCACGTATACATTTCGAGGTGTGTCGTGGCTGGCCATATCTACTCTGGACTTTGCGGCAATGCATCAAGTTGAGGTTAGTACCGGTAATTGTTAGCAGGCGTGCATGTATGTGTTATTACAGTACGCACGCGTGTGTGTGTGGGGGGGGGGGGGGGATCAATGGGGTCCATTCTATCTCCACACACCAGACATGCTGCAGTGTATCGAAGGTGGAAACATTTGTGAATCTCCGGAACTCCAGCTTCATGTTTTGTACGATGTGTCTCGATTTAGCCGGAAAATATCTCGACATCTGTCTGCATGTACTATGTACTGAGTTGCCACATTTGGCTCTTCTTTCCGTGTTGCAGGCAATGACATTGGCTGTAGGGCATGTTCTCTGCGTCCTGATCCTGTGGGACGTGCCCTGGTGCCAGAGGATTCTGAGGATCTTGTCTCCCTTTGTTTGGATTATCTCATTATTTTTCCTAGCTAGCTACGTGCCGTACCGTGTGCCAATGTTCCTGGTGGTTACAGCACTGTGTGTTATTGGCTTTTTAGCTGGCATGCCAGCTCAAGGTTAGTGCCATGGGCAAAGATGTACTTTGTGCATTCCTTACATCACATGACTTTCTTGAAGCTAGGCAATGGTCAACGCACAGCTACACTACTTGTATACCTACAAATGAGCTGCTGTGCGTGTTTGTGTACGTGCGTGTGTGTGTGTGTGTGTGTGTGTGTGCGTGTGTGTGTACATGTGTCTGTCTGTAGCTCACATACTCTGCTTGCAATCCATTGTGGGTGTAGTGGTGCAAGTGGCGGTGTAGCACAATGTGCTTCTTGTGTTCTGTTCTCGGCCCGTTGCATAGGTATTTTTCAGAAGCACTCCTCAGATGCTGCTGCACCTAGTGTGATTGACCACCTGGCTAAATCCGATTCTGTAAAGGCCACTGCAGCAAGTAAGTCCAACGGGTAAATGCTGGGGCCAAGGTTAAAGGGGAAGTCCGGTGAAAAATTTAAATTTCACAGTCCGTAGAGTTCGGGGCGCTGAGTCGAATGGTCTTTGTCCGAGGAGGCTGCGGCTTATGGTTCGTCAGATACGCCCAATCGAACATGTGCGAATTTGAGCGCGCATCACCCAGATCCAGGTGATGACGTCACAGCGTGCAGCCAGGTAGCCACACCATCTAGTTGTGTACAAAAATGGCCATATTCGGAGCGCGTTCGATTGGGGAACCGTTTATCGCAGCTTCTTCGGACCAAGACCATTCGATTCAGTGTTACAAACACTACGTACCCTGTGATTTTCAGCTCGGTAAACCTGGAGGTTATACCGTATTTTAGCCGTTTCCGAGTTGGACTTTTCCGTTAGCCTAGCCCGTCTACCTGGTCTACATGGTCTATGCGCTCTGCGCGCGCTGCGTGCATGCAGTGCGTGCAGAGTGTTATCTAGCTGTAGTAGTACTAGTAGTGCAGTCAACAAACTCATGTCACATCTGACACAAGACTCAGAAAACTAGTCAACACACGGACTTGTCATGTACATGTACTACACTCGTACTATCAGTCGTATTGTACAGTCATGTAGTCAGAGAACGTGCGTTTCTCCTTGCCGGTGCCGGTGGTTGTGCTTTGAGAAAGAAAATTTTAGTTTTCCGCACCCGCGGCGCCTCATTATTTTATGCTACAGCGATGAGTGCACAACCGTGACAAGTGACAAAACAGCGACCAGCTCTCGGACCTAGAACTTTCAGATTCTATAGCGTTGCGAGCGAAGAGTCGTGCCCGTGGTTCAAAGAGCCTGCACTGTTCTCCAATTGAGTAGTCCGAAATATTCCCAGTTCGCACCAAAACATCACCATGTGGCAGGCTACTGGAGTCTAAGCGAATCTAATCGGTATGGAACAACATTTAGAGCACTCGCATCAATCTTCTCCATTTTGGCGACCCTGCTCTCCAGCGATCTGATAATTACATCAGCCTCGTCTGCAATAGCTGCTGCTTCTTCATCAGTCGGAAACTCAGTAGCGCTCACTCTTGACCGGCCCGCGCGGCCATTTCTTCAGCTGACTACCGAGGTTCTCAGCCCCAGACCGAACTCATGAAGGTCAGCCATGGCTGCATCCTCACTCTCACAAGGAGTTACATGTCTTCGGGGTCGCTTGCACCACCTAATATCAGTCGCCAAATCATTTGAAATAGCACTGACACTATTGCTTTCACGCACTCCTTTTGACCTAGCTGCACGCTATGACGTTGCAGAGGGTGTGGCGCGGCCGCATGACGTCATGGCGCAGCCCCCGAAACTCAGTTTTTCAAACGGAAATATCTCGAGAACGCTTTGTCGGAGACACGTGGGACCAACACCATTCGACTCAGCGGCCGAAACTCTACCGACCCTGAAATTTAAATTTTTCACCGGACTTCCCCTTTAACATTCTGTACGTTTATTATAGCATACTATATAATTATAAAGGGTACCTGTAGGATACGTTTCAGCTCGTTGTGAAGTTACTTTGCCTTACAAGTGTATATTTGTCCTTCCTTCATTTTGGTATCTGTTCTGATAGTAGTATTGTCCTGCTGACAGGCTACTGCACATACATGTACATGCACTGCCAAATTGCACGATACCATTTGTTTGCCTTTAAATTGATTCTTCTCACTATGCTAGTAGTATTGTCCTGCTGACAGGCTGCTGCACAGACCTATACTGCCGAATTGAACGATACCGTTTTTTTGCCTTTATTTTGATTCTTCGCACTGTGCTGCTCGCCTCACAGGGAATCTCCGGGTCCCTAAGCGGCGATACATACGGCGCGGGAAGCCTTCACCAGCCTCACCGATGCATAAGTTCTCAACGCAGTACTCACATCAGACAATCCACGAGGTCGTGCTCTCGTTGTTGCACAGCCGTGCACACTTCACCGCTCTGCTGTGGGGCTGCCTGGCTCTAACGGTGTACCGTCATCGCTATTTCTTCTTGCAAGTCGTGCCTTTACCAGCTCTACTGCTTCTCCTCAAGCTTGTCAGCAGTCACTTCCGCGAGCAACGCCATCGCCTGTTCGGCAAGGTTAGTTGGTCTGAACCCTTTATTACCGGGTACCAGTGTTTTCACCGGATGTTTTGGGCACAGTACAGTGAAACCTGTCTAGACGACCGCTCAAGGGACCTTCAAAATGTGGTCCTTGTTACCAGGTGGTCTCCTTATCCAGGGTCATTTGACTGGAAATAGCATCCCTTAGTCCTGGTTGCGGTGGTCTTCCAGGGCAGGGCCGGGTGGTCGCCTTGACAGGTGTTTACTGTACTCCATTGGTTATCAGACAAGACCGCCTCTGTGCATTGTAAGTTGTCGTTTGGGTTACTACTTCAACTTACTAGTAACTCAAACTAGAAACAGACTGAACGTCACTGAAGGTCGGAACTGGCTTCATGCTCCTCACAAGCAAGATTTCCAAATATTTACATGAGTACTTTCATTGCCTTCTCGTCAGGTGAATACAGGCGGAAAAGAAACCAACCAGTACAATATCCCGTAACTAGTACACAATATAGAGTGATAACAGCAGCAGTAACTACGTAGCGAGAATTAACACACAAACAACACATAGTGAGTGTTGATTCCCACACGTATACTTGACAAACAGTAAGTCATGCACATATCATGCACACATGGTGTAGATGTGATAACAATAGACAACAACTTGACAGAACTATAAACGATGTGTTGGTGGTCTTATCTATCCGTTTGAGCGTGAGTGTCTTCTGCTGTTTCTGTGTGTTGCATAGGTTAGGCCACACCGTTTTTTTATTTACCGTATTTCCCCGATTGCAGGCAGGCATAGTGGGATGGTCTAAGACCATGATTGAGAAACAGAGGGTACCAGGTTCAAGTCCTGCTTGGAAGCGGAAGGAATTTTTCCAGCCGTGCTGCGACCCACAGTTATTTGGGAACTTGTGGCCTGGCACGAGGGTAACATGGATGCAGCTAATGGGATTTCGGTCTTTGACTACTTGGTGGTGGGTCTGATCTACTCACCTCACACCGTTTAGGCGCTGCATCTGCGCCTTTGATCCTAGAGGGTGGTGGCGTCCCACGACGGATGCGGAAAACTGGGCTTCCAGTCGAGTCTCACGCGAACCGTGAAATTTTTTTAATTTTTTTTATTTCCCCGATATAGGTCGCACCTGTTTACACTAGAAATCAACGGGGAAAAGGGGGTGCAACTTACAATCGAGCATGACTTACTACTGAAGTCAATAATATCAAAACAATATTGCTCAAACCTGGAAATGGGGGTGCGACTTATAATCGAGTGCGACCTATAATCGGGGAAATACGGTATGTTTCGCGTCCCCCGCGCGCATGTATTTCACAGCCGTTCAAAAAAAACGGAACTTTTTTTGGAAAATGCAATACAAATTTAATGCAAACCCAGAAAACCAGAAAAGGAAAAAATGTAACCCAAAAGAAAAAAACGGAACACGATTGTTATACGGTAACTATTATGTTGGCCTCATTTGTTCTATTTATCGCATGACCGTACTCAGCTGACATACACATGTACATCATAGTACATGTGTGTGTAATAAGCTGGGCCGCAAGTCACACAATCATCATGCCGCCTGTGTTTGGACCACAAGCATGGCAGAGGGGATACACTCAGTCACTCATGCATGTGTGAATTAATAATGTTCAATGTACATGAACAGTGCCGGGTCTACACTAGGACACAAATGCAATGTGATAATTATATTATTTGCACGTACACTGTTTTTTTTGGATGCCTTTTTTATTTTTTCGCCCTCCCTCATTGATTTCATCGAACAAGGTGACGCGAAACATAGAAAAAAACCGGCGTGGCCATAGGCTTCTTTGTGTGAATATAGACGGCTTCCAAAACTTTCAACAACCTAGCGCTGCATTCAAGTGATTAAGCAATGATTCGACATTGGGACATTCAGGATGCACAACCAAATGCAGTGGATGTTATTTGGAAGCTGTCTATCTCACAGAAAGAAGCCAAACCAATGCGAGAACAAGCAGAAGCAGAACGCATTCACACTTAGACTGGTAGGTATGACACCAACGTATTGTTAGTTCCGTCCACTTGTCCATTTGTTGTCTATTATCACGCCTATGCTGACGTCTTCACACCTACTTCGAAGTACACCAGTTGTGCATGGTTATAGGACTTGCTGTTTGTCTGTATGTTTAGGAGTCAACACTTTCTATATGCTTAGTGTGTATATTCTCGCTATTGCAGTTACTGCTGTTTTATCACTTTATCACTTAGTGACTTAACATTGTGTACTAGATATTGTACTGATTCATTTCTTTTCTGTTGCTATGGAGTGTCGGATGGAGCGGATGGAGTTTTTCAGCTCCCAGTAGGTTGTTGACCTTGGAGAGGAGATGGGCTCCGCTAAGGTCAAGTCAATAGCCATAGCCCTATGAAACGTCTTTGTGTCGTAGGCAGAGAAGAAAGACACATAGGACGCACGGGGAGAGAGAGAGTTTCTTTTCTGCCTGTATCCACCTGATGAGACGGCAATGAAAGTACTCCTGCAAGTATTTGGAAATGTTGCTTGTGAAGTTGTGAGGAGCCTGAAGCTAAGTTAGCTGGGTTCTTCTGCCTGAGTGCATTTTTTCTCCGCGTATCGTATTCTGCTCTGGTGCTCCTTTGCTGTCATGACTCCTTTTTCTTTTTTTCTTTTTTTCTTTTTGGTTAGGTCAAGCAACCCATTGACCGTTGCATGGCATCTCTGCAACGGAGGAGCGATGCTCTTGTACCGCCGCCACTGCGGGGTATCATCCGCTGCGTTCTTGTTGGTGACCGAAAGGTTAGTCAGGTTGTAGGGTGGCCTGTTCTGAAGATTCCTATAGTTCACTCTTGAGTGACTTGTACTTTTCATCCAAGGTGCATGCAGTTGAATAGGCAGGTCTTTGATTCACCGCCAAGATAGAAACAAGCATCACTATTAAATTAGTAAAAAAATTACACCATGTTTGCAGAAAGTGTAACTGGTAACTGTGGAGCCATGTACAGTCAACTTCGCTAATAGCGACTGCGGATATAACGACAATTCGCGAATAACGACAGCATTTCCATGCCCAGAGCAAAGTCCTTTCCAATTGTAATATAATATTATAATGAGACTTCGGGTATAACGACACTTCGCGAATAAGGACACTTTTTTTGACACCCCGCCGAGTGTTGTTATAAGCAAAGCTCACTGTATGTAGGTGTAACTTGCTCTCCTTTGCCAGAAAACAACCAAGTATATGGTTGGTTGCCTTCTGATGTAGTGAAACGTCACTGTCACTAAAGCCTCGCCCATCTTTTGTGCTTTTATACTGTGTGGTTTGCAGGCAGCATCATGGCTCAAGGAATTTGTTGATCCTTGTGTAACAGTACTGTTGATGGCTGCACTTATCATCGGTGTTCTCATCGTGGCCTTTATCCTCGCAGTCCAGGTTGGTTTTCAGTCCTGTGCTCCTGCAATGCAGTTTCTATGCTATTTTCTAGCTATTACGTACAAGTATGCTACACTAATGCAATGTGTTCTGCTGTAAATTGTCTTGTCTGTAGTGATGGTGAGCTGTTGGGTGTTCTATGTACTGATGATGCTGTTAATGCCTCTGTACAGTGTAACGGTGGGTCTGGCAGAGTGCGGCTGCTTGTGCCCTGTGACCATTGAGTTGGTGTTGGCAAACTTGTCATTGCCGATAATATCACCCGGACTTCCTTTTAATGTGGCTTTGCCCACTTCTTATGTCTGGTCTGCTTCTGCTGTTGGTGCTGCTATTTCTGTGGTTGTTGACAGGTGCGTCATGAAAGCATGCATGTTGTGACTGCTGCTGGATCTATATGGCATGGTGTTCTGGACAGTTACCCGGACCTGAAACGGTACGGCCCTTTTGGCATGATACTGTGGGGCTGGAAGAGTTGCAAAATGGCGGTTGTTAGGAGAGTTTCTTCAGAATTGTTTCTTGTATGATTTACTTGTGCCTTGGAATATTAGTGTCTGCGGCTCCAGGTGGTGAGCATGTACCGTAAAGTCCGGAGCAAACGCCCACCCCATTTTTGCAAGATCTGCTGGCCTGTACACACTGACCCCATGCACTGTCACCACTACTGTACGAAAGTGCATCTCACACCGTAGCGGGAAGAGCACTTTGCTACGGTAAACTATGTCCACTTTCCGGGTTTCAAAATCTCTTTGGGCACTAGCCACGAGCTAGCTCGTAGTGATTTTATAATGATGGTTGTTTTATTTCGCAAATCCGAACCGGGTTTTCTTCCGAATAACAAGGTAGGGAAGAACAGAGTATTGAAGGAACCAAATACACTTCTGACGGTGTTTCAAGCCATCATTTCGAGATCACACAGCGCCCAAAGGCAAGTGTTTTTCTTGGGCACTTCGGAGTTTTCAACAAGTTAGCAGCGGCTTTGTAGGTGTAGCTTCTGTGACATACCCTATTCGACTTGCAACTGCAATACTGGGACCAGTCAAGTCGTTGACTGACGCTTTATCAGAACAATTTCTGTTCCTGACAGTGCGACATCGTGGCACTGCACACATTTCTACGGCATTACTCGTACCACATGGAGAACGAACTACCACAAAGACGACACATTTATCGAATGAAAGGAAATCTCGACAGAAGTTATTTCTTTGCAGGAAGATAATGACAATCGTTTTTGCACAGCCTCCTGGTAGGACATAGGCAGTTTGTAGGCATTACAGTCGTTCTCGTACGCATTCGACCTTCATGCTAGTTGTTTACAACTATATTGACCTGATAAAGACGAAAATAGTATGGACCCGCTGGGGTGGGCGTTTGCTGCGAAGTGGGCGTTTGCTCCGGACTTTACGGTACATGTATTTCATTATGTGATGTACGCCATTGTACTGATTACTGTAAAAGCCATTATTCTAACGAGGCGCATATAATATATGCGCCTCGTTATTTTGGGAAATCGTTATATTATAACGATTTCCCAAAATTGACTAGTTTACGTGTACCAAAGGTAACGATTCTCACTCATTCTCAACGCTCAATAGGACAGTATATGTGTCGATTTCTGTATAGCGATTTCTATTTAAACGACAGATTTCTCCTCGTTAATTCGTTAGAGTTAGCACTTCCTTATATATATATATAATATATATATAATACAGTATACAGTGTTTGTGCTTGCCATTGCATTCTCTTGCTTACTCGTACTGCATACATGTAGTCTGGGCATGAAATCACCAGTGTCCTTGTACATTGGTCATGATCTGTACTTTTGTAGTTGCATTGATGAATTTGATTTTGTTATGGTCATCTTTCCTTCCATCCTTTGCTCCATGGCAGGTGGTGGGGAGGTGACTTTCCCAAGAAATTCCTAGATTTCGTCGATGTCGTTCAGCAGCAGACTATTCATCACGGTCGCTCCTGGTTGACATCATGGGTAAGCACTAAGCAGTGTGCCTATGCATGTGCAAAGGAGCTGCTCTCCTATGTGTGTAGATCTGGCCAATCATCCCTACATGGATTATGTAGCCACCCTTAGACTCAGTTCTGGGTCTTGAACTTTGATTATAATAATTGTAAGGATCACTTCGTATTTTAATAAAAAGTTACTGGTATACTGACTTGGTCAGAGTTGAGGTGACCATGTTCATTTGTACTTGTAAATAATTCACAGGATTTCCGGCCCTCTGTTCAGCGGCACTTCACGTGCTGCCTGGATGACCCTTCCTTTTGGTAAAACCTTTAATTTTGATATTGTTGAATTCATCCACACTTTCCTGTGGCACTAAAAATTAGCACCCACTAAACATCACCCGCCGGGAAAAATATATTTTTTAAATTGTATTTGTTTCTTTTGTCCTGTGCTTTTCTTCCCGTGCACTAGTTACGACAGGCTGCTCCGAACAATGAGAGTGCACTCCACATTGAGGCACAGATCTGGGACGTGTTTGATGCTGCCTACAACAGCTGGGGCAACCAGGTACAATACTACAATTTACCCTAATGTCTGTACAGTATACCGGTATAGGTGTCTAAAGCTGTGTTCGTAACTGGCGTGTGTATGTGGTACTTTTGCGGTTCTTGTGCGCCCAAGCGCGCATTCAGGCTTTCACAGAAAACTGCAATACGAGTCGTATCTAGGTCGTGTGACGCCATCGCGTTTCTAAGTTTTGATGCCGCCAATCAAAGTGAGTGGCATGTTCACCACCAGTAAGCGCCTGGTACATGCTGAAAAATACATGTTAGCCCTTTTCCATACGCATGACGACCCAAAAGCCAGCAAAAAAATACGCGTGGTTTCAGGCGTACACTCACCAGTTGTAACACCACTTTAGTGACATATCGTGAGTGTTGATGAGCCAAAGATTTGGGTTGGGGGAAGCTTTGGCCAACATTTCTATTGTAAATATTCTTTTCAAATTAGATATTGTCTATAGAATCATTCTGTGAAATAAATAAAAGATAGAGGTCACCTGAGGTTTTACTACTGTTTCTGTGCTCCAAAAGTGGCTGTGAATATTGCTATTTTACCCTATTAAAATCCGAATGTTTAAGTCTAATTCCACTAGAAATAGATACGAGGATCTCTGAATTGTATTGCAGATCCAGAATCAGCCTTCTATTCTGCTTTAGTTCACCCAAATGAACAAAGTATTCCAAATATTCAAACGTTTTTAACTAAAGAAACTGAGATGTTGCGACTTTGGCGGTGATTAGTGAAGAAAGTGTCTGCTTCGAACTTTGGAGCTCACGCTTCCTGCCGACTGACTTGACACTTGACTGGCTCACGACTTCACAGCTATAGCGTATAAAGGTTGACTGCCGACCGGTGGAAGCTGGTAGAAGTCTCCCATGAGTACAATGGCGATTCCTCCGAAAGGAGCAGATGGTCTGCATACTTCCTGAAGCCGTTGATCCACGTAATCCAATAAGATTGTCCTGATCATGGAAACTTCGTCGATCAAACACGCATGTTTTTATGGAGCCGTCTTGCCACAATCCTAAGTTGCGCTCAACGGTTAATCGTCCCATGCGTGATAGAGGTCGAAACAAGTGGCCGACAGCTGGGATAGAGAGCAGCGAATGCAAAGTTCTTCCTTTGTATAATGCTGCTGCCGCAATCCCTGTTGTTGCTGAAAATGTTACATGACCACTTGGCAAACTCATTTGAAGGCAGCGTGCCAAGTGACTATTGCCGGTTCCCGGAACTCCATGAATAAGTAGCAGGAGAGGTTGTGAAGCCTGTTGTTCACGTTGGTAATCGACGTACCAATTGATCACCTTGCAGAAAACATTTCTTTGCGCGATGTTCAAATGTTCAGGAGGTAAAGTATGGTTGAGAACGACTTCATTTTAGTTCTCATATATCCTTGGCGGATCAACTACGCCCGAGTGCAAACCTTCAATTTCATTGGGATTTGCATCGAAATTGTATGCTTGGATATCTGCGATTGTCCTTCTTACTACATCAACTCACGTATCTGCCACTAGTTGAATACTGCATACCGGCGGGTGTTGCATTATCGCTACCCCTTCGTACATTTTATCCATGGTGGCTGACAAATGCTCTAAAGCATCTGACCCTTCTTCTTCGGAATCAACATAATTTCGAAGAAAATCTATAGATGCGATACCAGATTCTTGAAGTGCAGGTTCTTCTATGCCATTTTCAGCTTGTAATATGGCTTGAATATGATCATATGTATCTCTGGTACCTGACCATCTATTGGCATTTCTACTACGGTAGATCATCATGATCATACCCAGTTCCTTATCTGTCTTGTTTACAGTTATCCATGTTGCAAGATGAACAAGTACATCATATCAACACCTACCCATCTATGTCATGCCAACTGGTGACGAACTACTAGCCATCCGAGCCCATTCGCACAAACCTTTGAAGATAGGTGTGTAGCTTGGTAGAAAAGGACTTTCAACAGACCAAGGAACTAATAATGTAACGTAGTACTTGCCATATTCCTCAGCCCTGTTTCTCCACTTGTCACTATCTTGCTTGCTTCCGACATCACGGGGTGGCGAACGTCCAGCAAGGATAGGCACAAGGACTTTGGATCTCAATTGTTGATGATGAGTAGCAGCTAAGGGGCGACAGGAATGGAATTCAAACGTAGCATTAGCTCTTCTTCCAGCACCTCTTCTCGTTCTTGTGTCGCTATTTTCCCTTATCTTGCACGTGATATTTATCAAAACACTGTATTCATAAAGGTTCATTGATCTTAGTCCAATGCCCCTGTATTGATAATGACAGTGCTGTGGCACGGCAAGCTTATTTCCTAGAGTAGAGTAAACCAAAGCACCTTCAACATCTTGTCCTTGTCGTTGATGGTTCTCGTTGGGAACGGCACATTCTAAGTCAGCATCATCATCTTCAATCGGTTAATGATCATCATCACTTGAGTCATACTGATCAGCGCTTTCTGGTGCAGAGTTCGGGAACCGTTCGTCTGGGACGCAAGCAGACCAACGTTTATAAAAAATAAACATCATCAGCTGCGGAGCGAAAGAAGCAGTATGTGAAATCTCGACTGCTCGTATAACTCCTGTTGCCCAAGATGGCAGTGGCAGGTCCATCATTTACAGAATTATAAATATAGGTCATCGATAATGAATTTCTGGTGATCATATCGCAGTCTGCAAAATTAATGGCATGTCGCATTGAATTACCGGCGGTTACTATCGTTGCATCCAACCAGCTGCGAACACTGCTTATATCAGTGGATGTGATTTGCCGTAAGCTGCTTAAATCAGCTTTTGTCTGGGCATCAGCTTTTGTGAAAGGGGCGGATCGTTCCCGGAAGTTTGCAAATCACATTCCGCTGCACGCATTTGTTGCGTAAATTCTACCAACTGAAACATGGTAAGTAACATTTTAGCAGAGATGTCCATCGGTTTAGTCAAATCCTCCTTCACAGCTATAGCGTATAAAGGTTGATTGCCGACCAGTGGAAGATGGTAGAAGTCTCCCATGAGTACAATGACGATTCCTCCGAGAGGAGTTGATGATCTGCATACTTCCTGAAGCCGTTGATCCATGTAATCCAATAAGATTGTACTCATCATGGAAACTTCGTCGATCACCAACACACATGTTTTTATGAAGCCGTCTTGCCGCAATCCTAAGTTGCGCTCAACGGTTAATCGTCCCATGCGTGATAGAGGTCGAAACAAGTGGCCGGCAGCTGGGATAGAAAGCAGCGAATGCAAAGTTCTTCCTCCGTATAATGCTGCTGCCGCAATCCCTGTTGTTGCTGAAAATGTTACATGACCACTTGGCAAAATCATTTGAAGGCAGCATGCCAAGTGACTATTGCCGTTTCCCGGACCTCCATGAATAAGTAGCAGGAGAGGTTGTGAAGCCCGTTGTTAATGTTGGTAAGGGGTCGTCCGTAATTTTCGAAAAATTAAAAAATCCGTCCTCGTGCAAAATTGTCTCTGACCCACCCACCCACCCCCCAATTTTTCCCATTAATTTTTTGATTTTTACCGATGCCCAGCTCGAAAATAAGAACTCCTGACCCCATGTTTTCTGACTGCACCTGTGTCAAGTACTAGTAGCTAAGTACAGTGAGTAGTAGGTCTACCGACGTCACGGCCATGCATGCACCGTCCTACAACTACATGAAACGGCATGTATCATAGTAGATACTGGTGTTTGCGACAATCGATCCTACACTACGTCTACAGTACAGTACACAGTCAGCTATATACATGTACATGTACTTGTATCAGTGCAACAACTTGAACAAGTGTATGAAAGTCACTGGAGCGAAAAAAAAAAAAAAAAAAAAAAAAAAAAGTACGAAAAATCAAAAAATTAAATTCCGCCAGCACTCTTGACCACCCACCCCCTTTTTGCCTGAGGACGGATTTTTTAATTTTTCGAAAAATACGGACGACCCCTAATCGACATACCAATTGATCACCTTGCAGAAAACATTTCTTTGCGCGATGTTCAAATGTTCAGGAGGTAAAATATGGTTGAGAACGACTTCATTTTAGTTCTCATATATCCTTGACGGATCAACTATGCCCGAGTGCAAACCTTCAATTTCATTGGGATTTGCATCGAAATTGTATGCTTGGATATCTGCGATTGTCCTTCTTACTACATCAACACACGTATCTGCAACTAGTTAAATACTGCATTCCGGCGGGTGTTGCATTATCGCTACCCCTTCGTACATTTTATCCATGGTGGCTGACAAATGCTCTAAAGCATCTGACCCTTCTTCTGAAGAATATCTATAGATGCGATACCAGATTCTTGTTGTACAGGTTCTTCTATGCCATTTTCAGCTTGTAATATGGCTTGAATATGATCATATGTATCTCTGTTACCTGACCATCTATCGGCATTTCTACTACGGTAGATCATCATGATCATACCCAGTTCCTTATCTGTCTTGTTTACAGTTATCCATGTTGCAAGATGAACAAGTACATCATATCAACACCTACCCATCCATGTCATGCCAACTGGTGACGGGCTACTAGCCATCCGAGCCCATTCGCACAAACCTTTGAAGTTAGGTGTGTAGCTTGGTAGAAAAGGACTTTCAACAGACCAAGGAACTAATAATGTAACGTAGTACTTGCCATATTCCTCAGCCCTGTTTCTCCACTTGTCGCTATCTTGCTTGCTTCCGACATCACGGGGTGGCGAGTGTCCAGCAAGGATAGGCACAAGGACTTTGGATCTCAATTGTTGATGATGAGTAGCAGCTAAGGGGCGACAGGAATGGAATTCAAACGTAGCATTAGCTCTTCTTCCAGCACCTCTTCTCGTTGTTGTGTCGCTATTTTCCCTTAACTTGCGCGTGATATTTATCAAAACACTGTATTCATAAAGGTTCATTGATCTTAGTCCAATGCCCCTGTATTGATAATGACAGTGCTGTGGCACGGCGAGCTTATTTCCTAGAGTGGAGTAAACCAAAGCACCTTCAACGTCTTGTCCTTGTCGTTGATGGTTCTCGTTGGGAACGACACATTCTAAGTCAGCATCATCTACAATCGGTTAATGATCATCATCAATTGAGTCCTACTGATCAGCGCTTTCTGGTGCAGTGTTCGGGAACCGTTCGTCTGGGACGCTAGCAGACCAACCTTTATAAACATCAGCTGCGGAGCGGAAGAAGCAGTATGTGAAATCTCGACTGCTCGTATAACTCCTGTTGCCCAAGATGGCAGTGGCAGGTCCAACATTTATAGAATTATAAATATAGGTCATCGATAACTCCTCTCCTCCGAGAGGAGTTGATGATCTGCATACTTCCTGAAGCCGTTGATCCACGTAATCCAATTAGATTGTACTGATCATGGAAACTTCGTCGATCACCAACACGCATGTTTTTATGGAGCCGTCTTGCCGCAATCCTTAGTTGCGCTCAACGGTTAATCGTCCCATGCGTGATAGAGGTCGAAACAAGTGGCCGACAGCTGGGATAGAGAGCAGCGAATGCAAAGTTCTTCCTCCGTATAATGCTGCTGCCGCAATCCCTGTTGTTGCTGAAAATGTTACATGACCACTCTTCTTCCAGCACCTCTTCTCGTTGCGTCGCTGTTTTCCCTTAACTTGCGCGTGACATTTATCAAAGCACTGTATTGATAAAGGTTCATTGATCTTAGTCCAATGCCCCTGATAATGACAGTGCTATGGCACGGCAAGCTTATTTCCTAGAATAGAGTAAACCAAAGCACCTTCAGCGTCTTGTCCTTGTCGTTGATGGTTCTCGTTGGGAACGACACATTCTAAGTCAGCATCATCATCTTCAATCGGTAAATGATCATCATCACTTGAGTCATACTGATCAGCTCTTTCTGGTGCAGAGTTCGGGAACCGTTCGCCTGGGACGCTAGCAAACCAACGTTTATAGACATCATCAGCTGCGGAGCGGACGAAGCAGTATGTGAAATCTCGACTGCTCGTATAACTCCTGTTGCCCAAGATGGCAGTGGCAGGTCCATCATTTACAGAATTATAAATATAGGTCATCGACAATGAATTTCTGGTTCATATCGCAGTTTTTTCTTCCTTTCATCATTGTGTTCACAGAGCAGTAAGATGAATATTGGCGTGGTTGGTGACAGCAGCGGTGCAAGTACGAATGCAGCTAGCTTCCTGGACAATGCTTACATGTGGCTGTCAGCTGACCAATTGCCTGGTGTGTTTTCCACCATCAGGGAGAATATTGGGACTCTCCAAGCGGTATGCAGCATAGCTTCTGGTTTCTCGAGTTTGGCATTTGTTTGCATGGCGAGTTCTACTTTGGTGTTGCATGTTGGTGTTTGCTTGCTAGAATGTCTTGCGCATGTACTTGCTAGGTGAGGTGGGTTTTGCCACCGGCATAGCCCATAAATGACCCATTCAAACCTTCACGCTTTTGAGAGGTGGTCACTGGTTATATTATACTCTGGCAGGTGGTGATGTTGATACGTGTTTTACTAGTAGAATGTAGTCCGCCACCGTATTGGTGTTTGTTGATCTGTGTGAATGTGTTTTCTGCATGTATTCCTGTGTGTTTTGCATTCATGCATGCTTACCTGAAGACTCTCGATTCTGTACTGGTGGTGGTGCGTGGCAACATGAATCTACTGTTGACCTCAATCACCGTTATCTTGTCTATTCTAATCGGAAGCGGCTCTGCTGTGCTCAACTTCTTTTTTAGTGGGGTAAGTGCTTTCTCAAAGATTGTTTGCATTCTAACTATACGCTGTACTTGCAATTATTAAAAAAAAGAAAGATTAGCAAGAATCGCGGTTCGCGTAAGACTTGACCGGAGACAGAATTTTACGCATCCGCTGGGACGCCACCACCCTCAAAGATCAAGTTAAAACCCGACGTTTCTTCAATACTGTAAAACAGGAAAATTTCGGTGGAGATTTATTTTCGGTAACTTCGGTACAGGTAATTGTCACCTAAAATAAAACGCCATCTAAATATCAACCATGCCATGCCACACAGTGTGCAAAATGCAAATTTGGATCTGGAAAACTGGTTTACCGAAAATTCCCGGTTTTACAGTATGTGGAGGCACTGCTCCATGTCTATTGATCGTCTCTTAGCCACAATACCAAGAGATACAGGTTTGGAATTGAGCTGCAGCGTCTTAGATCGTAATGGTGGTGGTAGTGTGGTCTTAAGAGAAACATGGGGGGGGACTATGATCACTGGGCTATCATATAGTCAAGTCAATGCTGCTGTTATCATGCAGTAAAGTCAATGCTGCTGTTATCATGCAGTAAAGTCAATGCTGCTGTTATCATGCAGTAAAGTCAATGCTGCTGTTATCATGCTGAACCTTTTCACCCGCCGTGCCCTCGCACCCAACGCCCTACATGTGCAAAACAAGTCTGCGGAGAGCAATTTTTTCATCAGTTTTGAGTGAGTTGCAAACTGGAAAAGAAATTTCTTGCTTATTCCACTGCATTCGGCCAACGAAAAATAAGCACTTTTTTGCATTGATTTGTTTGCGCATTGACCCTTCCCACAAATGTACCATCACAGGCTCACAGCACATCCACACTTGCGGGGTGTGCACGCGTGCTGCACAAGACAGACAACGCATAGTGTCCGCCGCCTCACCCCGCTCAACACTAGCAACAACAGCAGGAGCTCTGGATCCTGGATCCCAAGCAATGCGGCATCTGGTGCCCTTCAGTCAAACACGAAACATGAGAAACATGTGTATGGACATGAAGTTTCAATGAAATGAATATTGGGTTAAAATAGCTGTGTGCAGTCCAAGATCAAGTATCAGTATACAGTTTATCGATTTACTCTTGTACTAATGTGCTCTGTGTATACTTTACTGGTCCGCTAAGTCTCCAACAGAATACATCTGCAATGGAATTAGGTGCACTGTTAAGTTAAAATGTCACTTCCTCACTGGCCCTAGTGTTCAATAATTATACTCCTCAATGTCATTAAAATTTTGATCGTTGAGTTGAATTTTCTTGAATTTTCTTGCTGCTGCTGTTTTGCTTTGCAGGTTATCTTCAGCACATCGCTGTTTTACCTCCTGTCGCTGTCACAAGAGCGCTATGCGCCGGGAGAGTGGATGACGTTTCTCTTTCTGCCCGGTGATGCTGGCCAACAGCATGAGACCAGTGAAATGGTTGCTGCAAGTGTCCAGTGAGTTATGGCGTCGTCGTTCACGCTTCCTCTACTGATATGTACATATGTTCTAGATAGGCGGTGGGCTGCGATGAGAAGTACATAGCAGTGCTTGCCCACCGCCGACAGCCAGTCGTTCATCTGTCCTATAGGAATTCCAGGGTGTACGTTGCAAGGGGTCACTGTTACCGGAAATAACACACCACCGAAAATTTCTGCTTTTACAGTAGGCTGGTTGCTGGTGAATACTCTCTTAGAGAAACAATGCTGTTCTATAGTGAGAACTGAATTCAATAGTTAGCTATACCTGCCTGTGGAATAGTCTATGCACAGTTTCCTAGCTCCGAAATAGTTTGTATCTGTATTCTATACCATTTCTCTTGTTGTTGTTGTTGCTAATGCTGCTGTTGTTTTCATGTTGCTTCTTCTTGTCATGATGTTGTTGTTGGTGCAGGGGTGTGTTTGGAGCTACGCTGCAGATGATAACCTTTTATGGCGTCTTCACGTACTTCACACACAGCTTGTTTGGCTTTCAGATTGTTGTCATTCCTGCCAGTAAGTACTGCAAGTACTGCATATTGCGTATGTACTATAGTGTGTAGCGGGCTATGCTGAGGGTGTGCTTATAAACTAGTACGTCATGTACTGTAGGACTTGTTTGCTGGGACAACAACGAGAGATACAGCTATTTGCCATTACATGTATACTTATAATAATAAAATCTAGACATTAATTTCCGTCTGCTGTTCTTGTCTCTTGTGTTGTTTTGTGGTCTTTGATATTGGCTGATGGCGGCGGCGTGGCGGTGGGTACCATGTAGTTACAGCAGCTGTGATAGCAGCAGTTCCATTCATTGGTACGTACTGGGTGTCAGCGCCAGCCGTTGTCTATCTGTGGCTTGTTGAGGAGTCAGCGCTGCAGGCCCTGCTTCTCCTCGCTCTACACACCATTGCCTTCTACTACGTCGACATGGCAATCTACAGTGAGATCAAAGGGTGAGTGAGGTGTGTGTGGGTGTGTGTGGGTGTGTGGGTGTGTGTGTGTGTGTGGGTGTGTGTGTGTGTGTGGGTGTGTGTGTGTGCATGGTGTGTGTGTGCATGGTGTGTGTGTGCATGTGTGTGTGTGCATGGTGTGTGTGTGCGTGTGTGTGTGTGTCTGTGTGTGTGTGTGTGTGTGTGTGTGTGTGTGTGTGTGTGTGTGTGTGTGTGTGTGTGTGTGTGTGTGTGTGTGTGTGTGTGCATGGTGTGCATTGTGTGTGTGTGTGCATGGTGTGTGTGTGTGTGCATGGTGTGTGTGTGTGTGCATGGTGTGTGTGTGTGCATGGTGTGTGTGTGTGCATGGTGTGTGTGTGTGTGTGTGTGTGTGTGTGTGTGTGTGTGTGTGTGTGTGTGTGTGTGTGTGTGCATGGTGTGTGTGTGTGTGTGCATGGGGTGTGTGTGTGTGCATGGGGTGTGTGTGTGTGCATGGGGTGTGTGTGTGTGTGTGTGTGTGTGTGTGTGTGGTGTGTGTGTGTGTGTGTGTGTGTGTGTGTGTGTGTGTGTGTGTGTGTGTGTGTGTGTGTGTGTGTGTGTGTGTGTGTGTGTGTGTGTGTGTGTGTGTGTGTGTGTGTGTGTGTGTGTGTGTGTGTGTGTGTGTGTGTGTGTGTGTGTGTGTGTGTGTGTGTGTGTGTGTGTGTGTGTGTGTGTGTGTGTGTGTGTGTGTGTGTGTGTGTGTGTGTGTGTGTGTGTGTGTGTGTGTGTGTGTGTGTGTGTGTGTGTGTGTGTGTGTGTGTGTGTGTGTGTGTGTGTGTGTGTGTGTGTGTGTGTGTGTGTGTGTGTGTGTGTGTGTGTGTGTGTGTGTGTGTGTGTGTGTGTGTGTGTGTGTGTGTGTGTGTGTGTGTGTGTGTGTGTGTGTGTGTGTGTGTGTGTGTGTGTGTGTGTGTGTGTGTGTGTGTGTGTGTGTGTGTGTGTGTGTGTGTGTGTGTGTGTGTGTGTGTGTGTGTGTGTGTGTGTGTGTGTGTGTGTGTGTGTGTGTGTGTGTGTGTGTGTGTGTGTGTGTGTGTGTGTGTGTGTGTGTGTGTGTGTGTGTGTGTGTGTGTGTGTGTGTGTGTGTGTGTGTGTGTGTGTGTGTGTGTGTGTGTGTGTGTGTGTGTGTGTGTGTGTGTGTGTGTGTGTGTGTGTGTGTGTGTGTGTGTGTGTGTGTGTGTGTGTGTGTGTGTGTGTGTGTGTGTGTGTGTGTGTGTGTGTGTGTGTGTGTGTGTGTGTGTGTGTGTGTGTGTGTGTGTGTGTGTGTGTGTGTGTGTGTGTGTGTGTGTGTGTGTGTGTGTGTGTGTGTGTGTGTGTGTGTGTGTGTGTGTGTGTGTGTGTGGTGTGTGTGTGTGTGTGTGTGTGTGTGTGTGTGTGTGTGTGTGTGTGTGTGTGTGTGTGTGTGTGTGTGTGTGTGTGTGTGTGTGTGTGTGTGTGTGTGTGTGTGTGTGTGTGTGTGTGTGTGTGTGTGTGTGTGTAGGGGTTAGTAGGGATTCACTGGCCAGAAAAAGTCACTTCATAGCTGTGTGGTGTAGACCAGGCTGAATAGTGGCGGTCAATTCTTCAGCCTTGCAAGTTCAGGGCTCACGGTTGTGTACAAATACGTGGGCGCCATTTTGTTTCTGGCCAGCTCACGCGACGACAGGTCGACTGTCACGCGACCACAGCTCGACCACCACTTGTACACAAACTCTAGCCATCTCGCAGCGCATTTTCAGTGCGACACATGCCACTTCAAAATAGAATAAGGTAGCACGGGTAGACAGTACGACACTGAAAATTTGGGTGGAACCAGGCAAGATGTGAACTAGGGGTTCAACCGAAGGAATTTTTGATTTTGGTCCCGGGAAACTAAAGATATTGTCACAAAGTCCGTGAATGCTCTACAGCGATCCCTTCATCTAGGGAAAAATCGCTTCGGTTAAACTGTAGCATAGTATCTCCTGAAGATTTTGAGCCATCGATTGTCAAAATCGGCCAATATTGTGCTACCTTATACTGTTTTGAAGTGAGCTAAGTCGGCAGGGGCGCACGCGAACTCCCGTGCGCGACGACAAGGAAGGAAGCCTGTGCATATGCGTTGTACGATGTGGAAACTACACCAGCGAGGCAGCAGCAAGGCGTTTTTTGCAATGTTTCCTCCGCGACTGAAAAACTCTTGAAATATTATTGACCGTTTGCTGTCTCGCTCATCGGCGCTCTACTGCTGTGTGCTTCAGCAGCTATGGCGAACCGAAAATACATGACCAGTACAACGGCGAAGCCATTTGATTCGTCCTCTTGCAACGAAAGAGAGTGGCAAATCAAATAATTCACATCTCTCCATCGTCACTTCTCACAGCAGCGTGGCACGGCTCTTTCACTCGTGTAAGTGCATTAACAAAACGCTCTGAGAACAGAGATAACGAACTAGAACACAGTGTGAGTCTTTGCTTCATTCCATCAAGGAGCTATTGTCCTCTACCTCTCCTCACCTGCGCCAGTGCACCAGTGGACGACATAGATGTCGATCCCTTTCTCAGCAAAGACTCGGCGGCAGAACTCGCGACTTCTCATCGCAGGACTCAGCGTGCGAACGAACTGTCTGAAGCCTTCGGCTTACGAGGCCAGCACTGCTCGCAACACACTCGCTCGGAAAGAAGCAATAACAACGACAGTGAACGGCAACCAAAGTGAAACACAAGTCCCCAGCCAGTCTCCGTCTTCCTCAGTTCTACTTCTTCTTGTCAGTCACCAGGTCACTGCAACTCTCTCGAGTCCTTGCTGTGCTCCGCGCCGCGTAGGCGTGCACTGCCGCGTGCATAGCTCGAGTCACGCGAGCTCATTTCTATGGTGATCAGATTTCAAGATGTCCTCCCACGTAATCGAGTTTTGGCATCCCAACCGTGAGCCCTGAAGTTGTTGAATGGTGCAATCCCAGCACAAGCTGCTATGGCTTCTGCTGTAGCATCGCTATCATCGCCTTCGGCGATGGGCGTCCAATGGTGTGTGTGTGTACCTGTGTGTGTACCTGTGTGTGTACCTGTGTGATCTACACCATCCTTGCACTGCGGTGCACACTGGCAGTAGTGTGTAGAGTCTGTAGACACTACCTGACTACATCCCACTTTGCTAGTTAGCAGTGCGTGGAATATCTTCTGGGATGGGCTCTATTTAGGCCAATTAGGGTGGTAGTAGTTGGGCAGTGTTGGTCTCACTGTCTAGGATGCAGTTTTGTGAGGGTTATTTGAACTCATTTCAGCCTGGACGCGGTGGGATAGATGACATCATGCTACTGTCCCGGGTCGGCCATTATGAAAATGATGTCAAGAAGCCGTGAATCTCAATTGAATCAGCATGGTACTCCAGGCGACCATGGCATCTAAGTCCTCTCCAGGCTTCTTCAAATTTCGGTGGACTTTGGTGATCAGGGTGTCTGCCCTTCTAGAACCACCTCGGTGAAGAGTGGGGAAGAGAACGCAGGGCATGCAATACACGCCAGCCGCTGATACGTCTCCTTCACCGTCGTGATATGCCAACCACTCATGCTTCTCAAACAAAGACAGTTGGAGGAATCGCTTCGATGTGCCCGACTGCTTCCTCTTGTCAGCAAGTAGCGAGAACGGCAGCGAGCAACCGGGCACTGGTTTTCTGGACCGAATCAACTGCAATTTCTGCGAGTCCAACAATTTCTCACCACTCAAAGCATCCTTGACATAGGCAGCTGTACTATGTTCTGGCTGCTCGCTGACAACCGGTGCTTCCACGTCTGGAGGAGTCTGCTCGGAAACTTCCGAAAGTTCAACTGGAATCGGCAGAGCGGCAGCGGCAGCAGGAGTTTCGTCGCCTCAAGAACGCTTTGCAAAATATCCATCCAGGCTCTGCTGGCTAGAGCTTGGCCTTTTGGGATGTCGCTGAGACATCGTCGAAAAGTCTCTGCGACAGAGTCAACCAAATCACATTCGAACGCCGAGGCGATAATCAGAGCTCAAAAGATCGTTGTGCAAAGTAACTTAGTTGCGGAAAGAAGCGCTTGCCTGTGACAAGTTCACTGCTGTGTCTTTACCCGCTTGTACAGCGCTGCACATCGCACATCGCACATTGCGTATACCGGTATACTATCGACGCGTATACTACTACACTTCGCATATACTACACACAGTCGAGAGCCTCCCGGCCAGACCTGACGCGTCATATGTCTAGGTTGTACTATTAGGTTTCCCTTGCCATATGTCTAGGTTGTACTACTAGGGGGGTTTCCCTTGCCATATGTCTAGGTTGTACTACTAGGGGGGTTTCCCTTGCCATATGTCTAGGTTGTACTACTAGGGGGGTTTCCCTTGCCATATGTCTAGGTTGTACTACTAGGGGGGTTTCCCTTGCCATATGTCTAGGTTGTACTACTAGGGGGGTTTCCCTTGCCATATGTCTAGGTTGTACTACTAGGGGGGTTTCCCTTGCCATATGTCTAGGTTGTACTACTAGGGGGGTTTCCCTTGCCATATGTCTAGGTTGTACTACTAGGGGGGTTTCCCTTGCCATATGTCTAGGTTGTACTACTAGGGGGGTTTCCCTTGCCATATGTCTAGGTTGTACTACTAGGGGGGTTTCCCTTGCCATATGTCTAGGTTGTACTACTAGGGGGGTTTCCCTTGCCATATGTCTAGGTTGTACTACTAGGGGGGTTTCCCTTGCCATATGTCTAGGTTGTACTACTAGGGGGGTTTCCCTTGCCATATGTCTAGGTTGTACTACTAGGGGGGTTTCCCTTGCCATATGTCTAGGTTGTACTACTAGGGGGGTTTCCCTTGCCATATGTCTAGGTTGTACTACTAGGGGGGTTTCCCTTGCCATATGTCTAGGTTGTACTACTAGGGGGGTTTCCCTTGCCATATGTCTAGGTTGTACTACTAGGGGGGTTTCCCTTGCCATATGTCTAGGTTGTACTACTAGGGGGGTTTCCCTTGCCATATGTCTAGGTTGTACTACTAGGGGGGTTTCCCTTGCCATATGTCTAGGTTGTACTACTAGGGGGGTTTCCCTTGCCATATGTCTAGGTTGTACTACTAGGGGGGTTTCCCTTGCCATATGTCTAGGTTGTACTACTAGGGGGGTTTCCCTTGCCATATGTCTAGGTTGTACTACTAGGGGGGTTTCCCTTGCCATATGTCTAGGTTGTACTACTAGGGGGGTTTCCCTTGCCATATGTCTAGGTTGTACTACTAGGGGGGTTTCCCTTGCCATATGTCTAGGTTGTACTACTAGGGGGGTTTCCCTTGCCATATGTCTAGGTTGTACTACTAGGGGGGTTTCCCTTGCCATATGTCTAGGTTGTACTACTAGGGGGGTTTCCCTTGCCATATGTCTAGGTTGTACTACTAGGGGGGTTTCCCTTGCCATATGTCTAGGTTGTACTACTAGGGGGGTTTCCCTTGCCATATGTCTAGGTTGTACTACTAGGGGGGTTTCCCTTGCCATATGTCTAGGTTGTACTACTAGGGGGGTTTCCCTTGCCATATGTCTAGGTTGTACTACTAGGGGGGTTTCCCTTGCCATATGTCTAGGTTGTACTACTAGGGGGGTTTCCCTTGCCATATGTCTAGGTTGTACTACTAGGGGGGTTTCCCTTGCCATATGTCTAGGTTGTACTACTAGGGGGGTTTCCCTTGCCATATGTCTAGGTTGTACTACTAGGGGGGTTTCCCTTGCCATATGTCTAGGTTGTACTACTAGGGGGGTTTCCCTTGCCATATGTCTAGGTTGTACTCCTAGGGGGGTTTCCCTTGCCATATGTCTAGGTTGTACTACTAGGGGGGTTTCCCTTGCCATATGTCTAGGTTGTACTACTAGGGGGGTTTCCCTTGCCATATGTCTAGGTTGTACTACTAGGGGGGTTTCCCTTGCCATATGTCTAGGTTGTACTACTAGGGGGGTTTCCCTTGCCATATGTCTAGGTTGTACTACTAGGGGGGTTTCCCTTGCCATATGTCTAGGTTGTACTACTAGGGGGGTTTCCCTTGCCATATGTCTAGGTTGTACTACTAGGGGGGTTTCCCTTGCCATATGTCTAGGTTGTACTACTAGGGGGGTTTCCCTTGCCATATGTCTAGGTTGTACTACTAGGGGGGTTTCCCTTGCCATATGTCTAGGTTGTACTACTAGGGGGGTTTCCCTTGCCATATGTCTAGGTTGTACTACTAGGGGGGTTTCCCTTGCCATATGTCTAGGTTGTACTACTAGGGGGGTTTCCCTTGCCATATGTCTAGGTTGTACTACTAGGGGGGTTTCCCTTGCCATATGTCTAGGTTGTACTACTAGGGGGGTTTCCCTTGCCATATGTCTAGGTTGTACTACTAGGGGGGTTTCCCTTGCCATATGTCTAGGTTGTACTACTAGGGGGGTTTCCCTTGCCATATGTCTAGGTTGTACTACTAGGGGGGTTTCCCTTGCCATATGTCTAGGTTGTACTACTAGGGGGGTTTCCCTTGCCATATGTCTAGGTTGTACTACTAGGGGGGTTTCCCTTGCCATATGTCTAGGTTGTACTCCTAGGGGGGTTTCCCTTGCCATATGTCTAGGTTGTACTACTAGGGGGGTTTCCCTTGCCATATGTCTAGGTTGTACTACTAGGGGGGTTTCCCTTGCCATATGTCTAGGTTGTACTCCTAGGGGGGTTTCCCTTGCCATATGTCTAGGTTGTACTACTAGGGGGGTTTCCCTTGCCATATGTCTAGGTTGTACTACGGTTCGCTCGTAGTTCCTACTACAGTTAGGCGCTGCAGCTGTCGCTGGATTTTCCGGGTGTTAGCGGCCGTCGTGAGTTTCCTCGGGTACGGAAACGATAATACTACTACTGTACTTCGAAGTACTTTTCTACAGTAAATGCATACATACGAAAGGTAGTATTCACGGCCATTCTGAGCTAATCCACCCTACCTTTGGAAGAGACTGTGGAATTGATAGGAGATTTTTGTATTCTATAAAAGGCCAAGAAGCCACCTCTTCAGAGAATGAAACTTCTCGAAAAGTCAAAAGGTGACAATTCGAATGCCCTCTTCTTAGCATGACTCTGGTAAGGCATAAGTTATTATTATTATTATTATTAATACGAACGGATTTCTCGACCGATTTTCCCCCGTACGTGCACATACAAAAATCGTGTGTGTGTGGTGTGTGTGTGTGCACGTGTGCGTGTGTGTGTTTGCACTTACGCATGTGCAATCATGTGTTTGTAGAGGAGGACATCCCTACCTGACGGGACTTGCAGTGGCTGGTGGTGTCTATATCTTTGGTCTGGATGGAGCCGTCATTGGTCCTATACTGCTGTGCTGTGGCCTGGTTGGCTGGCGAATGATACGCAATGTCTTCAATGATGATCTGCCTATTCAATACACTAGGTGAGGAGGTGTATGTGCTGTGTAGTAGTGTAGTGTTTTCATTTTGTCACACCATGAGATTGTTCTTGTTGTTTATGGGGATAGAAAACACTTCGACTGCAGCGTAAATACTCGCTCCTGACGGTGTTGCGGCGGTGACTTATCCAATTCTTCTGTGCTGATGTGACGCAAAGTGACATGTGCAAGCTACCGCTCTTTACACTGCTTTGGTTTTGACAGCTATTGCTGTTCGTGTGCACGCGTGTGTGTGTGTGTGTGTGTGTGTGTGTGTGTGTGTGTGTGTGTGTGTGTGTGTGTGTGTGTGTGTGTGTGGTGTGCATGTGTGATTACTGCATTTCAGGTATCACTCTGAATCAGGATAGAAGATACACATGATACACGCGCTGTGCTCTGATTACACGCGTGTTTAGAATGCAGCCAAAGTCAGATGGTTTTTTTGCGGTTTAGAGGTCTTTGTGAATTTATTTATTTCCCCCTATGATAGAAATCTTTTTTTTTGTCATTCTGCTGTGACCTGAGACGCATTGAGATGGTTGTCTTCATGGGATGAGGAAGCAGGTATAGCTTTCGAGCATGCTAATAGTAACAGCAGCCATAGCATCTTACCACGTCAGTACTGCCGGCAGTGCGGCGTGTACGTGCCTTCACAACATTGTGTTTACTCTTTATTTGTCGACCTGTTTTCTTTTTTTATTGAGTTCTAAATCTTCAGTGAAATGTTCTGAGCTACACCCCCCCCCCCTCCCTCTCTTAGACTTATTTTCTCCATTCAACATTAGCCATGCACCCTTTTTTCTTCTTTTTAAAATATTCATCTTGTAGAGCATTCAGTGCAGATGATAGGAAGGTTTACACCTGTCTGCGTCTTTTAATAAATTCAAAGGAAGTAAAATTCATAACGTCGAGGGAAATGAAACGGGAAAAGTCGAAAAAAAGTTGACTATCACTACCAGGGCCCGAACCAGGAGGAACCCTCGCTTACGGCCAGCGATGCATAACCATTGAGCTAAGCTAACCATCCAAGCAGCTGCAGTTCAACATTATCCACAGACGTTGAAGCCTTGGGTGAATAATCCATACAGGCTGGTGGGACGCAGCCCGCACTGTACTCGCACACCTCACGTAAAAACTAGCGCACGGGGGCCACAATATTTAAAAATAAGGTTGAGGGAAATGAAATGAAATTTCTTAGCATTACTATTCGGCATGGATCTGTGATCAATGTTGTGATAATGATGACAATAATCTTGATGTTTGCGAGCTGTGATTCAAAGAACCAAAATTTTGTTCTTTTGGTTCTTGTTAATTATGAAATGCTGTCCACAGATTGAGTGAAATACCAAAAATTTAATAGTAAAATAGTAAAAATAGTAAACTCCCCTAATCTGGGCATTTTGGGACTGAGCACTGGCGGCCGTAACTAGGAATTACCTGTATCCATGGAAACTCAGAGCATTCATTACCCTGATGATGGGCCAGGCCCGACAATTGTAATGATAATTTTAATTTTAATTTGAATCGCAGTGAAGAGACCGTGTTTGGAGTTGAGAAGTGAAGTTTGCTAAACTCAGAGCATACCCACTTTAATAATACTGCATGCAAGTAGACATTATTTTGTATGGCAATCAATAGTTTTTGGGACCGTTTTGCGTGGAAAAGCCGGTTAATTTGTGTGACTCTACATGGATCAGAAAGGTGCCCGGACGGGCGTGCCCAGATTAGGAGCATCCGGATTACTGTAAAATGGCTAATTCTGGCGCCGGTAATATTCTAGCGAAAGGAGTGTTTTCGCTAAAGTTTTGCCGCGCCAATCGAAATTTTGCATGTACAGTACTTACTAGGCATCTCATTTGTTTTACTTCCAAGTATCTCTGAAACTCGGATCTCTAAAATATTTCGTCGCAAATTGGTCCTGATTCAGAAAACCCTAAAATCTTTACCCGCTAAAATTAGCCGTTCTACAGCAGGGGAGGTTTACTGTATTCTTCAGAGCACAGCCAAGGTACCACCCTGAATGTGGTGACCCATGCACTGGTGACATTGTCATGCATGCACATCCGAATGTAGACTGGCTGTAGCACTGTAGCACTACATGCAACACATGTCCTGAGCTCATCCTGTTTGCGTAGCGTCTGCAGATTGACACCAACATCATCAGCATCCACCAGTCGAAAACCCGAACACGTTTCAAGTTGACTTGGGAAAGATTGTGCGGCTCACCAGATCCATCATGATCTCGTTGGTGCCAGCATAGATGGGTTGAATTCGAGCATCGACGTAAGCACGGCCAATCTTGTAGTCGTACATGTACCCCATACCACCATGAAGCTGAACACACTCGTCAGCCACGCGGTTCTGCAGCTCAGACGCCCTGACGTTACATAGCAGACAGCACACAATAGAATAGGGCAGACAATGACTGCGAGCATGGCATACAGTAGTCCACACCCTGTAAGTGTGTGCCGTACCGTGAATCATGGTATTGTACTAGCACCAGCTATTACCACTGCTCATACCCTGTACTGTGCTGTGCAGTGTGAATCAGGGTACACATACCAGCCATTGGTATGACATACATTCTATGATTCAGACACATTCAGTCACTGGAAACTGAACATATCGCCACCAAGAGATGACGATAAGAATTATCTGCTCAGATTAGGATATCTGATACAGTGGGTCAGCACATACAGAAGCTGTTCGAGTTTCAACTGCTCTGCCACTGAAAATTGATTGTTGTAACAGTCAAAAACGCTGGACATCCTTTTCAACATGTAAAATGTAGAATGTAGTGTGATGACAGCCTAAGTGTAGAATGTAGAATGTAGTGTCATCCGAAATGATACTAACCATGCTTTGGCCATGGATGCGGTGGCCGTATCCAGACATTGTTCCCCATGCCGCTCGATGCAGCTGTCAACAAACGCCCGACCAACGGCTATGTCAGTCTTCAGCTTGGCCATGCGATGTCTGATCAGCTGAGAGCGGCCATTGGAAATTAGTGCGAGAAACAGAGGTAACAAAAATGATGGATCATGATAAATTGATAATATTCATTGACGGTTTGAGGGAAAGATAGAAACGGGGGAAAAGCCTGAAGAAAAATAGACTGTCACCACCAGACCTTGAACCAGGGACCCTCTCTTATGGCCAGTGATACTCTCAGTGACCACCACCAGGCTATGGTGTGGTCGTCATCCAAGCAGCGACCATTCCACGTTTTCATGATCATGACAATGCGACTAGTTGCAATGAGGTACAGCAGAATAGAGCAGAATAGACGTACCGTGCCGTCGATTGTACTACACGGAAACGAGGACAACATTCTAAATTCTGCGGTGGGGGGGGGGGGGAGGGAGGGATAAACAGGATCAGTTGTGTTCTGTCTGTTCTGGTGGTATAGTTTCGTTACTAGACAGAGTGGTCACACTCACAGGTTTTACTACATACCTGCATGAGTTCCAATGTACATCGTACACACAGCACAGCACAGCACAGCACAGATCCGATATTATAGCATCAACCACTATCCATACCGGCCTACCTGCATGGATGACAGTGGTCCTCCAAACGCCTTTCTCTCCTTCAGATACTCCCGTGTCCACTCAAACATGGCCTCTGCTGCGGATATGGCACCAACAGCCACGCCCAGGCGTTCCTATCCAGGTCACAAATCAACCAACCCCCTCAGACTGGTGTGCCGATGACCATGTGATAGCAAATTTCACAAGGCACGTTGTTTGCATATACATGATAGCTTGCATACACCCCGGTCCTACCGGTAAGACCTACCTGTGGGACCATCATACACACACATACTGCACAGCCTCTGTTTAAACATTGACCCAAACCCTCACCCGTGATAATGCATAAGCTGTTGCTAAGGGGCTATTGAAGGAGTCCACAAATTTGAGACATGATCGTACAAGGCATATTACAAAATACCATGGCAACAGCCCATGGCAACCTCAAAAGTGGAGTGTGGTGTTATGTTTGAATCCATAGTCTGTCTGTACATGATCTGTACGCCATACGCTGCTCTGTGTGTACTCCACATTATACATGCATGCCTTGTACACTGTTGTCAACTGCTTTGCCATGTGTACGTTATGCGTAGTGTTTGAAGTAGAGCGCGTAGTCTACTCTGTCAGCTATGTCAGTTATTCGTTTCCTGATTTCGAATAGTTCCTTGCTTGTCGTTCTGAAGTATAGTTGTAATATATTGTGCTCTTGCTCCACGTAGTTCTCTGTCGATCATATTCTGGCGAATATAACACTGGCGACGAAGATAGTTTTTTGTAATCCGCAATGGCAGAACGCCCAGTACCTCAGTTCGATCCTACTGGCCCTGCTCAAGATGTATCCATTCGCTGGGCGAAGTGGAAACGCAGTTTTCAATACTACCTTGCTGCAGAGGATATCACCGATTCGACACGGTCGAAAGCAAAGCTGTTACATCTTGTTGGTCCCGCTGTACAGGACGTGTTTGACACGCTCCCGGAACCTCCAGCTCCGACGGATGGTTCGGTCCAGAATTCTTACGACAAAGTAGTCACTATGTTGGATTCGTACTTTCAGTACACTCCGAATGTAATGTTCGAACGACATACTTTCCGCCCATTGGCGCAAATGGAGACAGAGACAGTAGCTCAGTTTGGCAACCGTTTGGTTCAACAAGCAAAGCTCTGTTTGTTTGCTGACCAGGACGAGCAAGTGTGTGACCAGCTTGTAGAGAAGTGCATCGATGATCGTCTACGCCGAAAGTTTCTGGAGAAACAAGGCACTCTCAAGCTCAAGGATGCTCTGGAGTTGTCCAGACAGTTCGAGGCAACTGAACTCAGCGCTCGAGGAATGTCACAATCGCGCAGTGCTCCAGCTCCTGTCCGTCTGGTATCCTCCACTACTGGCACTAGGACACCAACGTATTCAAGTGGTCCACCCGGAGCAGAGTGTAGCAACTGTGGCCTTTCGGATCACACAGCGGAGTCTGCTAACTGCCCTGCACGTGGCAAGGAGTGTCTGAATTGCCACAAGAAAGGTCACTACAAGCGCAAGTGTCGGAAACCAGTGACGTCCAGGTCGTCCAAGACTGGAAGGAGAGGAAGAGGAGGTGGTACGCATCAAGTCGTTAGTGCACCTTCAGCACACAGCGCACCAGCATCTCAGCAGAAGCCTGTCCAGCATGAGTCCTACGCTATTGGGAAAGTCACGTCTCCGCTGAACGAGTCAGACTCGCTGTTTGTGTCCGTGTTCGTCAACGAACGGCCGCTGAGAATGGAAGTGGACACAGGCGCGAAAGTCACTCTAGTACCTGAACACGTGTGGGAACAGTCCTGGAGTGATGTTCCGCTTGCGGCGTCCCAGCTGCAACTCACCACCTATGATGGCAGTTCGCTACCAGTGGTAGGAGAGACGGTTGTTGAAGTAGCGTACGGTGAGCAATCCATCACAGACACCATTGTGGTTGTGAAGGGCGGTAGCCATCCCCTACTCGGTCGTAACTGGTTGCACCGTCTTCGTCTCGACTGGCCATCATTGTTCCGCATCAACTCAGTGTCGAGCACAGAGGCTGACTTCAAGAATGAGTTTCCGGTGGTATTTGGAACTGGCCTCGGTACGGTCAAGGACCACCAAGCTGAGATCCACTTGAAGGAGGGAGCGACCCCTCGCTGTTGTTCAGCTCGTCCCGTTCCGTATGCTCTGCGTCCTGCCGTGGAGCGTGAGCTCGACCGTCTGGAGGGTGAAGGTATCATACGTCCAGTCAAGTCAGCTGAGTGGGCCTCGCCACTAGTGATAGTCAGCAAAAAGAACGGCGACATCCGCCTTTGTGCCGACTTCAAGGTCACGATCAACCGGCACATCGATCCACGTCAGCATCCAATACCTAATCCGAATGATCTGTTGTCACGTCTTGCCGGTGGGTCAATGTTCAGCACGCTTGATCTCAGCCAGGCATACGCACAGCTGCCGCTATCCGAAGCAAGCCAGAAGTATTGCGTCATTGCCACGCATCGCGGTCTCTATGCATTCAACCGTCTGCCGTTTGGTGTTGCAAGTGCCCCGGCAATCTGGCAACAAACCATGGATCAGATCCTGCAAGGCATCCCTGGTGTGGTTTGTTTCTATGACGACATCCTCATCACCGGAGCAACCCCAGCCGAGCACGATGAGCGCCTACGTCAAGTACTGGAGCGACTTGCCGAATTTGGTGTACGTCTACGTCTCGAGAAGTGTGTACTCAGCGTTGACCAGGTCCGCTATCTCGGTTTCACTGTCTCAGGCGAAGGCATTCAAACCAATGGCGACAAGGTTGCTGCCATTGTCGACGCACCACCACCGAAAGACCAGACAGCTCTGCAGTCGTTCATCGGTCTAGTGATGTTCTACAGCCGTTTCGTGCCATCTATCTCAGATGTACTGCAACCGCTACGACAGCTTCTCGTGAAAGACGCACCCTGGGACTGGTCGTCTGAATGTCAAGAGTCATTCGAGAAGGTCAAGAATCTGATGGCTGATGCACCCATTCTTGCCCACTTCGACATCAACCGCAAAGTCATTGTCGAGTGTGACGCTTCTCCGTATGGCCTCGGTGCCTGTCTGCTGCAAGAAGATGATACTGGCAGCCGACGTCCTGTGTGCTTCGTGTCCCGAGCTTTGAGTTCTGCCGAATCGCACTACAGCCAGATCGAGCGTGAAGCTCTAGCAATTGTGTTCGCAGTGAAACGTCTTCACATGTATTTGTATGGTCGTCCGTTCGTACTCCGCACTGACCATAAGCCGCTGCTGCGTATCTTTGGACCGCACTCCGACATGCCAGCAACAGCCGTTTCCCGGTTACAGCGTTGGGCAGTAATTCTCAGTGAGTATGAGTACCAGATTGAGCATATCAGTGGCACCGCTAACGTCATCGCTGACTGCTTATCCCGCCTGCCATTGAAGCTGTCCGAGCAGCAAGAAGCAACCGTTGTGAACGCCGTTCTCCAGCATGCCCGTGATCCATGTGAGTCTCTACCTGTCTCTGCTGCTGATGTTGCTGCAGCCAGCAAAGACGATGCCGTTATCTCGCGCATCATGCAGTACCTTCAGTTCGGTTGGCCCGCCGACACCCCCGACGATCTTCAAGCCTACCGCCGATGCCGCAACGAGCTGACGATTGAGTCTGGTTGTTTGGTGAGAGGCCATCGTACCGTAATCCCTGTGCAACTTCGCCGCGCGCTGCTGCAGGAGCTGCACAGTGTGCACCTTGGCATTGTGCGAATGAAGTCCGTCGCACGCAGTTTCTTCTGGTGGCCAGGCATTGATGATGACATCAAGCATCTAGCCACGTCATGCCGTCAGTGCCAAGACACCGCTAATGCTCCGCCCAAGGAAGCACCGCATCCCTGGATCTATCCCTCCGAGCCCTTTGAAAGAGTGCATGTCGACTTCGCCGAGCACGACGGCCAGCACTACTTTCTGCTTGTAGACGCCTATTCAAAATGGCTCAGTGTCTACAAGATGTCTTCTACGACAACCCACCAGACCCTGGAGTGCCTACTGTCGTTCTTATCTACGTACGGCATCCCGAAGACACTGGTCAGCGACAATGGTCCGCAGTTCACGTCGCACCTGTTCCGCCAATTCTGTTTGGAGAATGGAATCAGCCATAAGTGCACACCGCCATATCATCCAGCGTCCAATGGACAAGTAGAACGTTGTGTCCAAGAGTTAAAGAAGGCGCTACGTACTCGCCCGGACAACGTGTCAGCCGGCACCCAGCTCCACCGTTTTGTGTTCGCGTACCGCAACACACCACATTCAACAACACAAGTCACGCCTGCAAGCTTGGTGTTCAAGAAATCCCCAAACGTCAAGTTCTCCCTGCTGAAGCCCAATTTCAGTAGTTCCCAGCGTCAGCGTCAGACTACAGCGTCATCAACGAAGAGAGACTATACTCCCGGTGATGCTGTAGCAGTACTCAACACTCGTAATGGCAATGGTCCAAAGTGGATTCACGGAACTATCGCCGAGCGGCTTGGTCCGCTATCGTACATCGTTCGTACCGGTGAACAGACGCGACATGTACATTCTGACCACCTTCGTATGGCAGAATCTGAGAGGGAAGAGGAGACTGAACAAATTGAAATGCAACCGCAACCGGCCGTTGAGTTCCGCCAGCCTTCTACCGTACCTGCACCAGTCAGTGCACCAGCAGAACACGCTCCCGCTGTACCAGCTGTCGAGCCAGCATTTGAGCCCGATGCAGACATCGAAGTAGCTCAACCCCTATCCACATCGTCTGAGGCTAAGCCAGCACATTCGCCGCGCCGATCCTCCAGACAGCATCGTCCCCGTCAACGCTTGATTGAAGAATTGTGATGACACTAACAGTCCTGTCATGATTCTAGCACAGCTCATTCCGTTTTGTTAATTGTTCTGTGAGCTTTACCTTTACTGTGTTCCCTGTTGCAACGCAGTAGTTCTTTTTTGTTTTAGTATGAACAACATTCTATTCCTCACGGCGTTTCTTATCTAAAGGAGGAGGAGTGTTATGTTTGAATCCATAGTCTGTCTGTACATGATCTGTACGCCATACGCTGCTCTGTGTGTACTCCACATTATACATGCATGCCTTGTACACTGTTGTCAACTGCTTTGCCATGTGTACGTTATGCGTAGTGTTTGAAGTAGAGCGCGTAGTCTACTCTGTCAGCTATGTCAGTTATTCGTTTCCTGATTTCGAATAGTTCCTTGCTTGTCGTTCTGAAGTATAGTTGTAATATATTGTGCTCTTGCTCCACGTAGTTCTCTGTCGATCATATTCTGGCGAATATAACAGTGGAATTTCGCACTCCACTGACATTGCAAGCTGAGAAAGACAATAAGTCCTCACCATGATCGGTGTGCATGGTCAAAAATTCACTTTGGACATAGTTACTAGCGCTCCGACTGGAGCATGTGCGGTCATTTTTGACAATTGATAACATTGCACATATGCAATGCACTGGACAAAGTCTTGCATTTTGCGCCATTACTTTGCCTTACAAAGACCTCATCTCAACAATTTCTTCGAGGAAATTCTCTCTCTTACATGTGAGTTTTTACAATGCACGCCACAGTGGTGCAATGGCCTCTAGCAATAACTCAGTTGCACAATTATTTCTTGGTGTCCTTGATTGCCGCACCAGCAGCATATTGATCATAGTGGACAGACAGTGTGATCGGTGATCCAACAGTTCTAACCTATTTTTAAAGATGAGCAGACTCCACGGAGGCCCATTCATCTTATAAAATACTTCCGTCAAAAACTCCTCGAAATATTGTCTGACTTATTGTAGTTCTGGCTCTTGCATAGAATATCCTGTTTTAGTGTACTTTGGACTGCGGCAATTTAGCAGTGTGTTGGGTTTAATAATCATCAATTCAGTTCAAGGAAATGGTAGGTAAAACCAGCAACCCTGTATAGCTCTTTCCAAGATACACCGGCGGGAAGCTGGGTCAAGAGATCATCTGGTTCCAGCAATCACCTGGTCTGTAAGACTAGGGAAGGGTCACACTGGTTTCAGAGACCAGCTGTGTGTTAAGACAACGATAGGCTGTCTCATGGCTGGTTCCATGGCTGGCCGCTGAAACCAGGAAGGTTCACCGGTACAGCCCAGGCTTTAATTTAATACGGTGCAAACATATCTGAATTGCCACCATCCATTGTGAGCCTATCTGTGTAGACGTGCCGGCCATAGGTTCCCGGGTGAAGTGATCTCCTTACCTGCGGTAGCTCATTCATCATGTAGTAGAATGCCTTGTTCTCCTCTCCCAACATGTTGGAGGCTGGTATACGTACGTCACTGAAGAACAACTCGCTGGTGTCCTGCAGAAAAAAACAGCAATAGCAGTACAGAACAGCTGCAGGAGAGGCATGGTCAACTGCACCCCTATCCCAACCCATTTCCACCACTTAATACCGCAAGAGTACCCCCTGGACCAGTACAGTACATTCAGGCTCTCACAATGTAATTTGTATGAACAAAGTTGAACTCAAACGTATGATTCTCCCCGTTTCCTGACTGTAAATCAAGACGGATGTGCCCTTGAGAGAAGGACGTTCTGGCTGTACTTTACCGTACTCCATTCTTGAAGAGCATGCATGAGCACAAAACACAGACACATTGATCACGGATGGATGCACTAACAACAGACGTGATGTCGTTCACACTAACACTAGCTTGCACACACCACGGTGCGCACTGCATACCTGCGCTTTGAGGCCAATTTTTCTCAAGTTCTTGCCACGCTCAAATCCAGGCATTCCTCTCTCCACTACAAAGAAAGAAAGTCCATGGGCTGCACGTCCTTCTTTCTTCGTCTTGGCCACGACTAAAACCGCATCAGCAAGCTGCCCATTGGAAATCCATGTCTACAGAGTAACAGACATGCGGTACAATACCACGCTACATAACCGTGTCAGCTACGTATTAATCAATCTGACTGTACTCGTTCAGCATGGCTAGTATTCTATCTACATGTACAATCATGTAACTGTTCTATGAGTGAACTGGATGGAGTGCTTGTGTAGACACTGTATACATCAGACTCACATGTGACAGTGTATACACCAGACTCACATGTGACTGTAAATACTGCTGTCCCCATACGCCACGCTGCCTGAAGCAGGCAAACAAAATGTCCTGATTTTTGATAGGACTATAGCTGATCCTGGCCAAGATAAGATCAAGAGTACATAACCAAGAGTGTGCAACTGCCTGCACAACCTCTATGCTGTGCTGCGACGGCAGAACTTCACATCACGTGACATGGTTCAAAAGGTTATGCTGGCAAACAGTGCAAAGTGACCACAAGAGAGTTGTACCCAAAGCTGGGCTGCGTACAACCCAGTATCTATCATGCACTAGAGTGCACGGGTTCATCACGTGATGTGAAGTTCTGCCGTCGCAGACCCCATAGCTGGAGTTGCACACTCTTGGGTTATGTACTCTTGATAAGATGCAGTGTGACAGTATTACTACAAGTAGATACAGTGAAACCTGTGACTAACGACCAACCCTTGGGGCCAGAGAATGTGGTCTTTAGTGACAGGTGGTCCATAGTTAGAGGTTTGCACCGCATAACCATATATGAATGTGAGACCGTCCGTGCCGGGCGAAGTGGTCTGTAGTAGCAGGCTGGTCGCTAGTCATGGTGGTCTTTAGATACAGGTTTTACTGTAGTACCAGGCTGGTCGCTAGTCACGGTGGTCTTTAGTTACAGGTTTTACTATACTACCGGTAGTACAGTAAAAGTATTACTGTATGGAGTGCATGTGGGGTGACACTGTCACAGGGACCAGTATCTACAGGGATGGTGTAAAACAAGTTTAAAAACAGTGATTATCGTGTTCGTTCCTGAAGGGAACTCGCGATGGCCGCTATCAACCGGCAAATCCTAGCGGCAGATGCAGCACCTAACGGTGGGGGTGAGGGGATAAGTCTCACAACCACTGACACAAGTGCCGAGAAACCCCATTAGCCACATTCATGTCATATGGGAGAAATAACAGATTTGGAGATTACAGCCAAAAGCTGATGACCAACTGATCATGCAGCAGAGTGATGGGGAGGTGCACCGAGTCATCCCCCCCCCCCTCCCCCCCCTCCGTCAACACAGAGCTTGCCTGCAGGCAACAGGTGATCGCAACTTGTGACGCACCTCAGGCATACAGTAAGCAGGATCAACACAATGCCGTCCGTGTTCTCTGGCTCGATCCTGAGCACAGCCTAGACTGCCAACCATGCATTTCATCATTTGTCACGGCGCATTGTGCACATTTTGATCGTAAAAGAGTGCATTGGAAATGAACACCATAGTATACCATGAGCCGTACTCCGGCAAATGCCATACTCACTATCATGCACCAGCCATAGATCAGATTGGTGTGTGGGCATTCCTGTCAGTACTACACAGTGTATTTTTAGACTGAGTGATGTAGTAGCTAGCCTACCTTACTGCCATTCAGGATGTAGTCATCTCCAACTCGTTCAGCATGAGTTTGAAGACCTTGAAGATCACTGCATAGGCACCACGCATGCACATACGCCAACAGACATGTGCACATAAAATGGATGTGTGTGTGTGTGTGTGTGTGTGTGTGTGTGTGTGTGTGTATGTATGTGTGTATGTGTGTGTGTGTGTGTGTGTGTGTGTGTGTGTGTGTGTGTGTGTGTGTGTGAGAGAGAAAGAGAGAGAGAGAGAGAGAGAGCCACGGTTTCCGGCAGTGAGCAGGTGCAAATACCAACCCTCAAAGCCTAGCTGGGCATGAGAGAAGAGTTGTTATTAATCCACAAATGTCAGCCTGTGTCTCCATCTGCCGCACCGTTACATACGGCCGAGTTATACGGGGTACTCAACTCTTGAGCTAGGCGGGTATTCAATACTCAGTTCACTTACCTCCCAGCGCCAGGCTCTGACATGGCAATGGCAGTGATACATGTACCGGCGGTCATTGCTGGGATGAAGCGCTTCCTTTGCTCATCCGAACCATATTTGGAAAGGTAGGGCATGACTATATCAGAATGTGCATAGAATGATAGGCCAGTTGCACCAGCGGAGGTTCTGCAAATCAATTTGACAATGATTGTATAGAACACAAGAGAACAGAAGACATCACAATGTTTACAGAAGGCAGCCTGGCATGAGGGCACTCACAATAGAAAGCACAAGACCAGCCACATCGCACTAAGGACTTCGTAAGCTCTGCGCCGCACACATGCACTTACATGCACCGCAGAGCACAACAGGACGATGGAGGCATGCTGAATTGCACTGACTTGGGCCGTCACATCGAAGACCTTCAGACAGCAGTGTCATCAGTCCAAACCTGAACAATCAGGCTCAGCTCGCAACTAAGTTGAAACCCAGGAAAACTGTAAATTGGACAGTACACTTCTACCACCACAACTGTGTGTGTAGTTGATATGTTGCGTTAATTTTAACAATAATCTACGCTATGCGCTGATAACTTTCAGTTAGCACTCATGGTGTAGGGATATGGTGATAGAGGTGCCACAAAGAAACTCACACATTTGCAATCAGTCAGAAAATGCAAATATGAAATATACTACCACGGTCAATTATCACACGCCATGCCAACAAGCAACAAGGCAAAATCAGACACATAACTCTCTCAAGCCTTGTGTTGGATTCGGAAGTAAAGGAGCAGATGATCACAGATCAGTGGCCTAAATTTCTTAGTGATAATATTGGTACTTTGAAGCAGGGGAAATAGTCTGCACCAGTCACTACAGTGCTAACCAGTACACTGCAACAGCCCGTAATTGTTAATAAAGCCTCTGCCATAACAGAGTTCGTTACATGTATCATCAACTGCGAGAAGTACTTTAGCCGGTATATAGAATTATCATGACAAATTGGCAGAAAACTTGGCCCCTGGCATGGAGAGGACTGTCTTGCTGATAAAACTAGCGGCTAGCTTTTTTTCTTCATCTCTTCAGATGGCGTTTCAAGCGCCAGTTGCAGCATGAAGACTTTGAAGCTTTCGGATATTTCTTCTACACTACGGTCACTACACTTGATGACTAGTTTCCTTTTTTCGGTATTGTTACTCATCCGTCTTTGCAAAAACTAAGACATGGTTAATGGTAGTCACTAACTTAGCAGTGTGGGCTATTTTCAATAGCGCTGTGCAGCAGTATGCCGTATGCTTCCATCACACCAGCGGCTAGAGCAGGTCGAGGACAGCAATATCACTGTCATCCGAACAGCATCTCTCTAGTATGATGGGACACTCGCTGGCATGATGGGACACTCGCTGGCATGATGGGACACTCGCTGGCATGATCCTAAAATTGGTGCATAAGATTCCAAGAGTGTGCACACAAACTAAACAACTTTACTTGCAATTTTCTTCTGTTTGTTTGTTTGGCTTTATTTAGAGTCTTCTCTTTCTAGTGTGTGAGCAATTTTCCATTCGGCGATATCGAGTATGCATCACTCAGCGAGGTGCCCTGCTTCTCCCTCTCCCTCTCCCCAGTCTCCCTCTCCCGCTCCCTCTCTCTCTCTCTCTCTCTCTCTCTCTCTCTCTCCTCTCTCTCTCTCTCTCTCTCTCTCTCTCTCTCTCTCTCTCTCTCTCTCTCTCTCTCTCTCTCTCTCTCTCTCTCTCTCTCTCTCTCTCTCTCTCTCTCTCTCTCTCTCAGCCTTTTCACTGCACTTCAGGTACCGTAAAAGTCCGTAAATAAGTA